TTTTTTTTTTTTTTTTTTTTTTTTTTTTTTTTTTTTTTTTTTTTTTTTTTTTTTTTTTTTTTTTTTTTTTTTTTTTTTTTTTTTTTCTGTTTCTCTCGATTTTCTCTAATATCAAAGCGGCAATTATATACCTGCAAAGAGATAACATTGCACATCAAATTGCCATGGGCTCGGAATAGCAGATAATAACAAACTGATATTTCTATCTAGACTATTGTAACCATCAACTAGAATATTGAATCTGGGAGGGAAGAAGAAAAGGAAGTCTATCTGGCAAGTACAGTCTATAGGCATTTGTGCGGTGCGGCTCAAGCCCTTGTTTGCACACCCAGCCTGGGAAGCAGACCCCAGGGAACCAACAATGGGCAGAAAGCAGAAACCAGGGCCCATGGTCGCTGCGACAACACCTAGCTTGACAACTAGTCAATATCCTACCAGCAGACCCATCCGAGGGCTTTGAAAGCATGATACAAACAACCAGTAGCCAGTTCCCAGGTCAAATAGAAGTGCTACCAGGTCCTGAGGCCCTGGTAGCAGCGCAATCTCCTGGACTAGCAATCTGGTCAGATGGATCAAGTTTAGAGAACGGCAGATGCGGAGCAGGGATTGCTTGGCAAGAGCCAGGAGGAACATGGAAGACCCAAGGGTTCCCATTGGGCAAGGGATGTGAGGTCTTTGATGCAGAACTTCTTGGAGTCACTCAAGCACTCTGGGTAGCAGAGAAAGCAGAAGATTAGAGACCAGTCACTATCTTGCTGGACTTCCAAGCCGCCATTGCGAGGCTGCGACATACCCAGCCTGGACCAGGCCAAGCATTAGCAATCCAAGCACATGCTATAGCCAAGAGACTACATGCCCAAGGTCATCAACCCACCATCCAGTGGGTTCCAGGACATGCAGGGATAGAAGGAAATGAGAGAGCCGGCCAGGTAGCAAAGCAGGCAGCCAACAAACCCCCAGGAAGAGGCCCAAGTAGACTGCGGCAAAACCGCATTTGCGGTCACCTCTTTGCTAACCGCAGCCGCAGTTTGCTAACCAAAGCCAATCCTGCAATTTGCGGCTTTGGCTGTGATTAACCATGGCTAGCCGCAAGATAACCGCATTAGCATAAATATCGCTTATTTGTCCTATTCACGGCCATTATTTCATAATTATGTCGCTGACATACACGGTACATCCATTTCTAATTTCGATATATACATGCTCTCGTTATGACAGTACCCTTCTACACATTTACCTACTTCCTATATGAAATAATACGAAATACTAGTGTATTTATATATATAAGTAGCATTATTTCAATATACTAAACTTATATCGTAAGGTTACTGGATGATGGTAACTTGTAACTTCAAGTTTATTGGTACGTTGTGCTTCAAAAATACAATCAAAGACGCATAATTTATACACATCCTGGCAGCTAACGAGTCTCGGCACATTTATATTGTTGCAGCCCCAATGGTTAACCGTAGCTCTCGTGCGGTTAACACTTTGCTAACCAGAGCCGCCCGCACTGCGGGCGGCTTTGGCTAACCGCGGCTAGCCATGGCTTTGCCGCAGCCTAGGCCCAAGAGAGATTTTCCTGGCATTTGCCTGTAGAGCCCGAACAGAAGCCATCACAACACAGAAGCAGAGATGGCTCACCAAAGAGCTCAGCCAACAATCTCAACAAAGTCAATGAATGTACAGGCTGCAGAAAAACTGGCAGCTCAACCCAACAGCCGCAGTTGCTTCCAAGCATCTAGCAAGCCGGTACTTTCAACTGAAGTCAGGACATGCAGCCATTGGAGTATATCTACATTAAATCAAGGCCCAAGAGGATGCAACCTGCAGAGATTGCGGCTTATCAAGGGAAACAATACGCCATCTTCTCTTTAAATGCCGGAAATGGCGACACCAGCAAAACAAGCTCTACGAGGATCTGGAGCTGGATGGAGTCGTGAGACCCACTGGTGTAGAGGAACACCTGCAGAGACGACTTTTAGGAGAGCCCAGAACTATCAGGGCGCTGCTAAAATTTCTGGCTAGTACTAGTGTAGCTCTACCCTGAGCACACTCTCAGCGAATGGTGGAAAGGGCCCAAAGAGACAATGAATGGTAACTGGAAGCGCTGGAAGAGGCGATTAGAACAGGAGAAGAATAGCAAGGAGGGTAGCCTAAGCCGAATCTCCAGCTTAGGCCACACCTTCCCTGCTCTGAAACACAAGGAGAGTACTCTGCTCGAAAGCCCTGCGCATACAGATGGTTTGGGGCGAGGAAAAGGATCAGAAAGATTATAGAAGGAGGCTAGTGCCTCAGGAGCTTATAGGGATAAGAGACTGTAGAACAGCTACCAACCTCAAGTCCACGAATAAGGGTCTATCTGTAACGCCAGAGTGTAGGGCCTAGGCGTTTATATGATCAAACGACCGTTTCGGCTACGAATCGATATCGGATCGCTAACGTAGATATACCTGTAGGCAGAGAAGGTTTTATGTAGGGTAAAGTGAACGAATCGCTTGAGTCTCTACCTATGAGCGCCATAGTCTATTTGTGCCTGACGTCTCGATGGTGTGCCGATAGCGAGCCCTTACCCAGAACTGTCGATGCTTTGGTACAGAACGTATGCCTGATCCCTCAGGCTGCAGTGCCCGTGTGGTTACACCTTCCTTTTCCTTTCTTTCCTCCTTTTTTTTTTTTTTTTTTTTTTTTTTTTTTTTTTTTTTTTTCTTTTCTTTTTCTTTTACCTAAATAAATCAGACAATTCTATTCCTCCCAGTTGGGAAATTGTTCACATAGTATACTGGTTGCTTGTCCATGCCACTCCCCATAATCTTGGGGACCAGGTGGGCTCCCTACAGAATCTCATCTAGGGCAAAAATTGTCGGGAACCCAGTGTTAAATGTTTATTTGCGATATTCTGGGTAATTCCTGCACTTCTAGCATGCCATGCACCTTGTCCTACAATCCCTTCGGTCTGCCATCCACTTCCAATTGATTCCAATTGATCCCAGTTGAGCACACTTATTATCAGGAGCTCACCCACATACTGTCTTGGTACTGATACGCGCACACTGTAATCACTTTCTTGAAGCCAGTCTGTATCATTCCACCAGAACCCTGTGTTCTGCCAATTTATCCTACACCAATGAGCTGTCCTGCTCCAGGCGATTGACCCTGTGACGCTGTGTTTGAATGCCGCTACCCGGTTTTGCATCTCCCGCACGAAGACCGCAAGGCCTCTGCCAAATCATCAAGACGCATCACTAGTTGGAGATCCTGGCATTGCGTTTGCTTGCCGCTGCCACAACTCGAATGACTCTCCAGTCCACAACCAACCAGATCCAGTGGGCGCTTGGTGTGGCCACGACTGCATAGATGGGGGTCTCTATATCAGCACCGATCGCGGCACCGTCGGTCTGATATGCCAATGTATCCTCCATTGCCTGCATGCTCACCCAGTGGACGACTTGTCGAATTACCTATATCTCGAAATCTGCGCGCTTGTTGGTACGATCATATGGCTCCTTGACAAGGTATTTGTGCGCTGGTTCTGCGTAGCAAGTGTTTGTGCCATCCAATGTTCCATAATGACAGATGAAGTCCGTATAGTGCGATATCACATGGAACTTCGGGAAGTTGGAACGACCATCCTCATCTAATTGCCGCTTGTTGGTCCAAAACCTGCCAAACACCGACTTTAACTTATCGATCACGTATAATGCCCGTTTCATGTATCTCAATGTGTCATCGTCGTGGGATCGGTAGGTGGGCAGCATCCAAGAGTTCAAGACAGATCGAGTGAACAGCATCACCGGCTCGAACCACCCATCTTTAGGTAATGGGACAATTACCGGCAATAGTTGTCGAGCAATAGAATCCTGTTCGTTTCCTGACCACTGCTTCACGGTGCTGAAATTCTTGAAGCGCTTCAGCCCCGTGTATGGCAGAACTGCTTGAGATCTGTCGTCCACTTGCATGGGACCATCCCTGTTCTTAAAGTTCATCACCTGTGATCCCCCGTGCTTTCTTTTGTGACATAACTGCTGGGCCTTGACATGCTTCAAACACCATTGGAGTGTGTGGTCAACCATACCCTTTACCATCTGGTGCAATGGGTCCATTAACATGGCCCTGTATGTTGGTATACGGATGACTCTAGGCAAAGCCCCTGGCTGCGCCGGCTGCCATGCGGCCGTTGCCTTTTTCCATCTCATTTTGCATGTATTGACGTGTCCGCTGCGGCCATTTCTGGCAAAGGTTCTCTCCCTCTTGTCCATCGGGACCGTAGACAATGCACACTGCCGTCCACTCTTTACGCCGGTCAACAGTGTCTATCCTACAAATCTACAGCAGCCGCAATGCCCCCTTTACCAAAGCCTGTCAGCGTTGCGAATGTCCTGGGTTGAAAAGAAAACACCAACTGTATTAAGACAGCTAAAATCACAAAACAAGGGTATATGCTCATTATCCCATATCATGCATTGAAGTACCCGCTTGCAAGAAGAAAGAAGAAAACGTCCATATGTATTCCAAGAAACACTGTCCAATCCCAGAAAAAGAGAAAAAAAAAAAAAAAAGTTACCTCCACAAATCCTGCCGACTATCCCTCTTAAATCCGCCACTACTCCTAGGTCGTCCATCCTCCGCTGGCACGGCCAGGAACCCGCCAAAGCCGTTACCAACCAGTACGCTTCTCCTTGAACCCCCGCCCCACGACTTACTCAGATGGGCATCGTGGAAACTCACCGGCCGGGTCGTGCTGTCCCGGCGACCGCGCGTGGCTGGTGGTTCGTAAGGCGTGAAGTTCCATTCCAATTCATCCAGACCCTTGCTGTACACGTTGAGGGGCTGGGAGAGGACACCTGCGAGCGACTGCGGACCGCTCTCGCCGCCGCCGAAGAGGCGTGGTGGTGGGGCGAGCATGAGGTTTTCGGGGAAGGTTGCGTCGCGCACGTAGAGTTCTTGCAGGGCCGGGAGGCAGTTGGAGGTGAGGGAGGTGATTAGGTAACTGTAGTAGGATGCGGAAACGGGCAGCATGCCAAAGGAGGCAGAGGTGGCGGGGCTGATTTCGTAGTGGAGTGTTTGGAGGGAGGTAGATGCTAGTGGACGGACTTTGTCGATGGGGAATGATCGGGCGACACTTTGGACGACTGACAGCGCGCATAGCTGTGGTGCTGCATCTAGGATTCTGTACAGAGTTGCCGGGGAGACCCCTGTGTTTGACAGTGTCAGGTTCAACAGAGCCTTTCGATTCGAGGGCGACGAAAAGAACGAGGCAAGCCCGCTTGCCGTGACATTCGGGGTATCGCGCAACGTGAGCCGTTGAACCGGCGGGAAAGGAGGGAGGGTCTCCGAGACAATGAACGCCGAATCATCGAGCAACGGGACGTCTTCCAAAGTCAATTCCCGTAAGCGTGGGAACGATCCCAAACTGAACCGTAGAACGTTCATCTCGATCGACAACCCCGACAACTCCAGAACCTCCAAATTGCCCCAAAGGTGCGTCCCAGACACCTGCGAAAAGCTCCCCTCGGCCCCATGCCGATAGCTCATCCGACGAAGATCCGGGCACCGTGCCATCAACTCCTGTTTCAGAGCATGGCATGATTGGTCATCATGGAAGATGCCGTTGGGGAGGTCGACATAGCGCAGATTAGGCAACACAGAAACAGTACGGGCGATTTCAGCCTTACTTGCCTCGCGGGTCATGTATGGCATCCGTAGCGACAGCACCCAGGCTCCCAAGTCTCGGTTCTCCCGCACGGTTCGCATAAGCAGCTGCAGCCGGACCTGCGGCGCGTCGATGGGATCGCCGTTGCGATCGAAAAAGGAGCGGCGTTTTCGTTTTTCGGCGAGTTGTTCTTCGAGTTCGCAGTAGTGGACCGGGTCGACGCGGATGTGACAGTACCTGAAACAATGGGCTGTCAGTAAAGGATACAAAATTGGGAATGTGTTTGTCAACGCACAGCAGCTTCTGGGCCTCCGCGGTCCAGCGCCTGCATACCTGGGCGCAATGGGCCAGATCGCGCATGTCGCAGAGCATACAGCCATCCTCGGTCATGGATTCTTCGGAGGTATCGTAGGAGTCATCCTGAGTGTGTGGACAGACCGCGGACAGAATCCGCGCCAGTACCGGTGGAGGGAGGTCTTTGGTGAAATCGCGACCAAGGGGAGGGACGGGAGGAACACCCTCCGGGGAGGTGTTGGCGTTGATGCGGAGGTTGTCGTAGCATTTGGCGGCGTTGCGCGAGTGGCTCTTGGAGCGCTTTCGAAAACGACTGAAGAAGCCCATGGTGGATTATAAGGAGCGTATAGGCATTGAAGGGGTGAAAAACAAGAGTGTGGAAAAAGGATGGGTGTAAGGAAAGAGAGGAGATAAATATGTAGGAAATAAAGCGGGGAGCACAGGAGATATTAAAAGACGCCTCAACGTTCGCCTCTTCTTTACCCTTTTGAGAAAGTGCTCTTAACAAATGCATACGCCTGCGTCGAAACGTCCCATCGCCAGGGGTTTCTCCTCCAGCCTTTGTCCTGTATTTGTTCCAACCGCCGGGCTGACAGGATCGCCGGTGGTGATGCATCACTACCAGTCCATTAGTCCACTGCCTGTCCACTGCCTGTCAGTAATTCTAGTCCTAGTTATGCCAAGCTCAGGGGCGCCTGTTTCAAGCGCCGGTTGGCTGTCTTGGCTGTCTGCATCACTGGCTCACTGGGCGGTACTAAGGGTTAGCGCTGGCTTACTCGGTACAGTAGACGTCACTGCAGTCTATCACGGTTAAAAAAAGAACACAAAAAAACGTGTTTCTGTCTAATTGAGACGTGTTTATTGGTGGTTTCATCTTCGGTCGCTCCCGTGGGATTGTCGCGTGCCTGAGGTGTCAGTTTGGGACCGGACTGCCAGAATGATATGGACATCGATATCGACAACTACAGATATTGGTTGATGGCCGAATGTACCTGCATGCCTGCCCAATCCAGGGGGAACTCGCCCGGTGGCCCGGTTTGAAAGACGCCTGCATCAACACAAGGCTGCAAGGCTGACAGATTCGGTTTCTCTGAGCTGGCACGCCTTTGTTAAAGACCCTTGTCTTGAATCTGCATTGATCATGGTCTGTGTCATGATCGGTGTTACTCGCTCTATGATGGCAAATGTTTGTCAGCTGGAACAAGTATAGGCCTATGCTCTATGCGCAGTACTCCGTATCTACCACAGAGCATAACATGTCAGATCATCTACGGCGTAAATCTGGCAAAGGAATGCCAGATACAACCCTATCTATTAGGCTCTGTTCCTGGATTCCCTCGCAGTTACATATGTCTAGCCTGACATCGCCATGACATCATGCCATATGTCTACATACCTGAACAAGTGACAGACAAATCTATACATTGTCACCTATGCACCCATGCTATTCAAACAATTCTCCCGTGCAGCAGTCTCGCGCCTCTCGTCTACCCATCTTCACATAACCCCCCGTCTCCCAACCCATTCCCATCCTCTCAGGATGGCCACAAAAGATGCCTGCGGCGCCGCCCCCGGCACCCACGCAACGCACAAGCCCCTCCCCAAAGAAGAAGCCTGGAAACACCGTCCCCCGTATCTAATCCAGGCCCCCGAGGATTTCGGGGAAATCAAATGGCGCGGGAAATGCCATTGCGGACAGATTAGTTACTCATTGAATATGGAGAGGCCGCTGAATGCCAAGTTTTGTCATTGTAGGGGGTGTCAGTTGATGCACGGTATTTCCCCAACATTTCAGACTGGCTTCAAGCCAGTGGATGGACGGGGTAAGGGATTGAGCTAATGGAGGTACTGGACAGGAGCACCCTTCCAATGGGCCGCCATATTCCCCAAATCCAGCATAACATTCGACCGCGGCGTGCGTGGGCTGGAATTCTACTGCTCCTCGCACTACACGCGCGAATACGAAGTCCCAGCAAAGGTGTCGTGTTCGTACTGTCGAACGCCGATTATGGACGAGGGGCGGAATGTGTGTTTGTTGTTTCCGGAGAGTATTGAGTTTGGCAAGGACGAGGAGGAGTTTGATAGGGTTAAGGAGTGTTTTGAGGTTTCGTGCGTCTTCTCCCCTGGGTTTGGGTGGGGGTGGTGGGCTAACAGGGATAACGGGCAGGTCGCATATCTTTTATAGTAAACGAATGGTGGAAATTCCGGATGGGAAGCCCAAATGGGCCGGGATGGATGAGGCAAGTGAGCTGTTGGATGACTATGGGAATGTGAAGCCTGAGTAGTTGAAATGTGCTCCTCGAATAAGGGTGTCTGTATAGTTGCATGGATCTTGTCAGAAGCGTCTTGTTAACAAACATGAATGGGCTTGTCAATTGGAAGCATATCATTGTCAATAGCCCTGTATCAGTCGACTGTTCAGAATATACTCGGCTTTGTGTACATTCAGGTAGTTGTAGTGGTAGTGTTTACTACCTGTTCACCGAATGACGTCGCCGCCGGTCCTCTCCACCCCGCGAATGCGACAAGCAGAAAATCTGCATCTCGACTTCACTCCCTCTAAGCATTTATTTAAAGTACGTTTACCCTCTGTTAAATATAACCAGAGCCCTATCCATCACTACAACCACTCAACCCGGCAATCCTCGCAACCGCAAAAAAAAAAAAAAAAAAAAAAAAAAAAAAAAAAACTAACGGACCACAGCCCTCCACCACACCACCAACCCTCACGACCTCATTCCAAACCACCCCCCACCCCCAAAACGAGAAAATGTCCTGGATCCAAAAACAATTCACCCTCCCCCCGCGCTCCCGCGGCTCCTACCTGATAACCGACCACGTCGTCTCCGAACTCCCCGAACTGCGCTCCTACAAAGTCGGCCTCCTAACCCTCTTCGTGCAGCACACGAGCTGCGCGCTCTCGCTGAATGAGAACTGGGACGATGATGTGCGCGCTGATATGAGCGATGCGCTGGATCGGATTGCGCCGGAGGATCGCAAGGGGAATCTTTACAGACATGATGCGGAGGGGTTGGATGATATGCCGGTAGGTCTTCACCCTGTACATAGATTTAGGTTGGGTTTAGTATAATGGAACGGTGCTAATTGGCTGTGTAGGCTCATATTAAGTCGTCGCTGGTTGGTGCCTCGGTCACGATTCCGATTACGAATGGACGGTTGAACACCGGTACCTGGCAGGGGATTTACTACATGGAGTTCCGGGCGAGTCGGCACTCGCGCAAGGTTGTTGCGACGATTCAGGGTGAAAAGGCGTGACTTTCTGGGGAGCGGTTATGAGTGTACGACGTGATGTGCAGATTTTGTATTTATGCTTCTTATAAACGGACGTGGTTTCATTGGTGGGCGGTAGTGTGGGGAAGTATATACTTCATGTCTATCTTTCTCGATATTTGTTCAGTAGAAATGAATCACAATTGATGCTTAGAGTACTGTATATGCATGACTACAAATTAAAGCGTATTTACCGGTTAACAGTAGTCCAGCATCCTCTAAATCATTGATACAATTCTGTACATAGACCCAGTCCGGGCAAATAATTAAAGAAAAAAAAGTCAACGCCAAAATCAAATGCTCTTTACCGCTGCCCCAGTCCCTCCGGAGTCACACGCTGCTCCTCGTTCACTTCCGCGGCGTCACCGGTAGGCTCGAGAGGGTAGCTAGTTGCGGGCAACGACTCGAGATAGGCACGGTGGTGCTCGTGGGCCTGCATAAGTTAGCATAGGCATATCAGATTAAACAAATATATGGGGACATACGAAAGGAAGACCGCAGTAGCCGCAGGGGGTGATCTCGGGCTTGTCGGTGTTGATGAAGATCTTGGGATGGCCGAGAGGACCGCCACCGCCGTCACAGCTGACGATTCTGCTGTTGGTCCAGCGGACGGGTTGCTTGTGAATGAGTTCGATAGCGGCCATGGGTTGGGGCTGCACACATAACCATTAGCATGTCACGTCACTCTCTACAGCCTAACAGCACGCAAGCCTTGTTCCAGCAAAAGAGGGAAATGCCCACCTGCAACTCCATAATCGTCTGCTCAAACCGCGGACCAGTCATAGCCTTCTCTCTCGGCTGTTGGCTCGCAGCCCATGTGTTGGCCCGGTTAGGAGCCTGCAGCTGCCGGTTGCGCTCGCCCACCTCGGGCTCCTCCTGCAGCGAGTAATCCCATGATCCCATGGCGTCAACGGGGGTAGCATTGGTAGCGGAGACGTTGGGCTTGGGAGTCGGTGGGTTGGGGTCATTGGCCTGCATGGAGTTCTCGCCGAAGCGAGGGACGGTGGTCGAATAGCTGGCCCGGGCGAGGAATCGAGGGCATTTCGAGGAGAGAGCCGTGATCCGGCTGCGAGCGATGGGCAGCATTTTGTGTGTCTTGGGGGATTGGACGGTCTGGTAGAGGTCGTGGGCGGAGGGGTCGGGAGGTTTAGTCGGGGACGATAAGAATGGAAGGGCGAGGTTTGCGGGAAGCTGTCGCGCTTACGTTGGCCAATCAAAAGTGTGGGAGCGGTAATCGCCGCAATTTTCTCGGATTCCTCATTTTTACTGTTGTAGCGATAGATACTTATTCTACATTGTTTTTACCTAGATTTACCTGGAAATCCTACCACATTGCACCATGACTGCCGCCAAAGCTGGCGTAAAACCAGAAAAAACCATGTCGTCGCGACTGATGACCATGGGGGTATGTGAATTCTCTTCCAGTCTAACTGCCTGCGCATAGCTAACTCAACCAGTTCATGCAACGCTCTGCAGCCGCCAATAAATCCAGAGCCCCAGCAGAAGGAACTCGAACCCCGGAATCGAAGCGCACCAGACTTTCCACCGAAGCTTCCCCAGAACCCGCCGCAAAACCATCCTCAGATCTCGAAGCAATCTCAGCTGCCATTGCCGCGGAGGAGGAAAAGCGCAGGGAAGCATTGTCAAAACAAGCCGCGGAAGCCGGGGATACAGAATGGGTTCTTGACTATCCGGGTGTGCAGCAAGCTGCACGGCCGATCGTTGTCACTGCTGGGTCGTTGGATGACGAGGACGATGATGAGAGTTATGGGGGCAGACAGACTTATGGGAACTTTAAGCGCAAGAAGACGGTATGCTTTGCACTCTCGCTATGGTATTTTGAAAAATTGCTGACAGAAAAGGGTGTGGCATATGGAAATCCTGGCGAAGAGGAGTTGAACGAAGCTCAGCTGGAGGAGAAGAGTAAACTCAGGGCTGAAATGAAGCAGGAGGCCAAACATTCGGGCGGTATATCAGGAGGAGGAGGCCGTGGAGGTTTTTCTGGAAACAGCGCGCAAAAGAAACGCAAGCACAAATAAGCCATCGCATTGTATGGCTATCATCAACCACAGCCATTCCCTCGTCTTTGTCACTCCCGCCAACTGGACACAATACCAACCACCTCGCGCTCACCATTCTGGCGACTTGGCTCCTCTCACGGGTGCATTGTTCTTCGATGCATTGCTATCCTCACTCTCCTTGACATCGGCATGCGCCAGGCTCGACTCCGCAGACGTCTTTCCAACAACTACATCTCCTCTCTTGATCGGAGCTTTGTCGAACACCAGACTCAAATCTCGATCTTGCTCCACAGGAACTCCTCGTCGTCTATAAGCGTGGACCTTGATGACATCAGAAGCTGGGACTCCAGGTTCGACTCCAATCTCAGCGTGCAAATGATCGGGCGATCTTTTCGTGATGTGTGGTCGGAGGTATTGCTTGTCTTCGAATGGGAATTTGGTCGTTGGCTGTCTCAGTATTCCCTTTGGGTCTGTGTCGCGTATCTTCCCTGTCAGTTGGCTTGAGTTAGTGTACCGGATCACCATAGCCTTCACGGTTTAGGTTGTCCGGTATCATGGAATTACTTACTCGGGCCTCTTGGAATCTGACTCTCGTTCGCAGCGAGGTTCATCCGGCTGACGCTCCTGGGCAAGGGTGAACGTGGCTCAACGGTCGACACACTACGAACCAAACGAGGTCTTTCAGTCTCCAGACCTTGGATAGTGATATCTCCAACCCAGCAGGGGCAAGCCATGATAGCTCGTTAGGACGAGGTAGTCATAGTCATGAAGAGTTAATTCGAAGTAAAAGACAATTTCTGGCTACGCATAATCAAACAGTGAATACACATTAAAGCTTAGCCTTCTCCTCCCTAATCTTCCCCTCCCACCTTCTCATCCCCAAATAATTCACCACCACATTCCAAACCCCAACCCCGACCCCCACCGGCGGCACAACCAACAACACCCAAGCCCACCACTGCGGACTACTCCCCCCAATTACCTCCATAGCCCTCTTCACCTCTCCCTCCAACGCCCCTCTATCCTCATCATTCCAAACAATAACCCCGCGCGCATTATCCACACCCCGACTCTCCGCCCTCGCAACCTTCCCCTTCACATCGCCCTGGCTGCGTACTCGGTTCTCAGCATCCTCAGCGGAAAGATGCGCGTCGCGCGCACGGAGACGCGCCATTTGCACCGCTGGATCGGAGACGCCCACGACGACGACCGTTCCACAGAGGAGATCGAGCCCACTTTCGAAAAGCAGCGGGACGTCCAGTACGACGGCCCATTTGCCGGATAAGTAATTCGTCAGGAGAGATTTGTATATCTCCCATCTTACAGCGGGGTGCACAATGCTGTTGAGAATACCGCGATCGCGTTTGCGTTCAGCGCTGTCCCCGAATACTCTCCTCCCGAGGGCCGGTCTATTCAGTGCTCCCCCTTCACTTTCCCCATTTGCATTGGCATTATCGTCTGGGAGGAGGAGATCTGGCGTCGTAGGTCCAAAGTAATCAACGATAGCTTTGTACCCGGCGGTCCCCGGCTCGACGACGCGGCGGGCGAGGGTGTCGGCGTCGATGATGGGGAGGGAGTATGGGGATGATGAGAGGAGGGAGGAGACGGTTGATTTGCCGGTTGCGATGGAGCCGGTTAGACCGATTATTAGCATTGCGCGCGTTTGGTATGGGGATTTGTGGATTGGTGGTGTTGGAGGTGTCGCGATGACGTTTGGAGTTTATGTGAGGATTGCGGGTTGTGTGTAGAGTAGTTGTAGGAATTGGTTACAGCGCCGGCGCTGCGATTATGGAATTGGTGATTAGTTGGGTTGTTTTTGATGGTAGAATGAGTTGGTAAAGGCGAAGGTGGAAATTGACGTTAATATGCGGGGAGCTTCAACCTCGGCCGATTGCAGCCTGCATTCGGAGCACTTGTCGATTTCCTCGATTATCAACCATACATTCAAATTGTTACGATATATACAAAGGAGCAATGGACAAATGAATGTATAGAATTAGGATTAAGATTAGGGGCATGCTATCATTGACATGTCAAGAATTCTTTTACATTGGTATCTCGGACCTGACGGTAGACATAAAACCATAAGTGATATCATATCAAAGTCTGTATGTATGCAGGCCTGTCCTCTCCCGGTTCTCAGTAACCGTACCCGTGGGCGTTTGGATTGGCGTGGCTCCAACTGATGCTGGTACAAATAGTGCTTTCGCGAGAGTGGTCCGTCATACATCGACCTTGCCCGGATGCCACCGTCCCGTTCAGCCGGTGGTCAGGCGTCAGATGCGGCATATTCTCAGGAGCCATTCGAATATGGAAGTTCTTTTTGGTACCACAATGGAGTGACTCGCGTTCTGCGTCGTGAATCATGAAGTCATATCACGAAGATAAGAGCTATCCAATAGACCATCATGCCTCAGGAAGTCCCTTTTCATTAGGATCCTGCGCCTGACCCTTCCACCCAACATACGGCCATCCCTTTGGCAACGATGAGAAGGGCGGAAGAGCATAACGATCGTCACAAGATCCCACAGTCGGACAGTCAAGCTCGCACAGCCCGAAGACGTTGCAGTAGCACTCTTCGGCCGTCGGGCAGTAAATGGGCTCTTTTCCAAAAATCACTGCAATCGTTAGCATCACCTCATCTCTCAAGGCGAACACCAGGGCGAAAAAGAACGTACTATGCCACGAATATTCCATAATCCTCCCACTCAACTCATCCTTCAAATCCGTCTCCACCAACCACTTCCGAAACCTCTCATAATCACTCTTCGGCCGCTCATGAATCTTCCACCTCGTAACTCCAAACTGCGCACAGCACGAAACTCCCACTTCATTCGGGACCTCCACACCCGGAAACAGCTCCATAAACCCTGTTTTGAAGTATTCACCCGCGTGCACGTCTTCGCGGTGGGTATCGGCATACGGACGGATTTCGACAGGACACCCGAGAACCCAGGCGCAGCGCAGATTCACGTAGCCTTGTTTCTGAAGGTAAGGGACTTGGAAGTTGCGGAGCATGCGGACGCCGTCGTAGTAGGGGTCGTCGTTGTGCCATTGGTATTGCTGGGAGTGGATGAAGAGGAGGGATTCGGGGAGGCGGTCGTAGTTGTCGATGATATATCTACCGTCTGTTAGCATTGAAAGCAAGTGCAGCAGTGTAAGTGAAGGCCCACGTCAAATAAACCATCGACTCCCTTCCCTTATTCTCCCCCACAGTCAACTCCGCATCCTCATCGTCCACCACATAAACACTCTTATGCCAGTCCGGAAAATTCTCAAACAGCCAACTCGTATTATCCTTCTTCATACTCGCGACGACCATATTCTTCCGTATGAGTGGTTTCGAGTTGTGCGACGAGCTCGAGCCGGCGGGCCTGGAGCGGCGGATTTCCTCCAATATGGCTTCTTCATCGTAGGCGGCGAGGTTGCGATTGGAGGATCTGGCGTAGAAGAGGAAGTAGATTGCGAAGATGATGAAGATGGTTACGAGGATTGATTTTTCGCGATTGCGACGGCGTGGGCTTTGGAGGCCGCCGCCGAAGAAGAGCATGCTGGCTTGGTTTCTGCGAATGCGGTAGAAGTAGAATTAAGCTGATTGTTATGCAAATCGAGAATAAGCACAAATCATGTCTGCGTGTCTTGTTCGGAGAAAAGTCGAGGCTGGAGGGACGGAGGAGAAAGAGGATTGTCGACGCGCGTGTCGGACTCGGAAGTTTCCTTGGCGATCGTCTCAATGCGTATGTAGTACTCTGCAGTATTCTATGCTATGTTTTTTATGAAAGCGTCAATGATGAAGTTGTAAGTCGCATTGACATCTTACATACAAATATGTACTCCGGACTGACAGCTGGCCAGACCCTGTAAGTGGATCCGTGGATCTCTACATGGTGCCCCCGTACTCCGTGCAGGTATACAGTTATGCTCATACAAGTACTGAAGAACACATCTAATTGATGTATATCCTATAGCCAAATAGATATCACACTATGCACGCTCTAATAATTAACACAACAAGGAAACAAATCAATTACTAATCTGCGCACGATGCGACAGCGAATTAATAAACTCCCGTCCATACCTCGCACTAAATGCCATGTCAGCTCATCCTCATTCTTCATTCCCCAAGTAGGACCATACCTCGTATGCGACGTAACATAACACCTCAAGTAATTATATCTCTCCTCTTTCTCACCCTCCCCCATCATGATCGCCGTGTAAATCGCCTCCGAAACCTCATTCATCTTCGACGGATGAAACGTGATGCTCCCGGCATTCGTAAACGACACTGCTCCCGAGAGTTCGGACAGCACGAGCACCCCATGTCTGTTCTCCTGGCATGCGACATATTCTGATGCCACCAGGTTCATGCCGCCTCGGCGGGAGGCCATGAAGCACACATTGGAGACGCACATTAGGGCTGTGAGGTCGATGAAGGTTATTTTGTGGTGCATGTTGATGAGGGGATACCAGTTTGGGGTTGCTGTTTTGTTAGACTGTGTCTATATAGGATGCGCTGGGTTAGAGTAAGATGGCGTACCGTATTTCTTGTTAATCTCCACGGTAAGTTCGTTGATCTCTGTCTCGAGTTCCTCGTAGTCATCTCCATCCTCGCGCGCACTAGGGAGAAGAACCTGAATCAATGTCACCTTCCCTATGAACTCCGGATGTGCATCGAAAAAGCATTCGTAGCCCTGCAATTTCTGCAATAACCTCTTCGTATGGTCCAGTCTGTCCACCCCGAGAATGACATTAACACCCTGGTATATCTTCTCCAATTCATCAATTCTCTCCAGCACACGGACGTCCTGCATAGAATCGTTGAACTTCTGCGGATCAATTCCAAGCGTAAATGTATCCACGAACGTCTGATGGCCATCATAATTAATATGGCTGGCAACATCAGTCCGTGCACCTCTACCCCCTTGTCAGTCACAGTCACACGCACAGGTCAAGGCCACTCACAGAACACTGGCGCAACTCTTAATGAAATTCCGCTTATACTCATCCGTATGAAGCCCAACCACGTCACCCGCCAGCACCCCAGCCACAAGTTCTCCCTGCACTTTCAAATTCCTCCAGAACTCCTGGGCAGGGAACGGCGCATGCAAAGTAAAACCGATCTTGCAATCCTTCCCTTTCTGTTTTAATCGCGCTCGTAGCATCTTCGGCACAAGCATGAGATGGTAATCGTGTATCCAGACAAGATTCCCATCGCTAACCTCCGCAGCGATATTGTCTGCAAAGATCTCGTTTACGCGCTGATATGACCCCCAAGCTTTCTCATCAAAGTCCACCTTAGACTGATAGTGTAAGATTGGCCAAAGAATCGAATCTGCAGACGTCAGCCATTACATTAACTAAATACCAGAATCGGCGCACGCACTCGAGAAAATGTTATAATACTCATGCGCCAGCGTATCATCCAAGAACACAGCCGTCGCATTCGTCTCCTTCAACTTATCAGAAACCCTCTTCTCCTCCTCCTTATCCCGGACTCGAATCCCCGGCGCCCCGAGCCACCGTATGTTCGAGGACTTGACCAGTCCAGCCAACGCGGTCACCAGATCCCCATTCGACAATTCTTGCTGGATTATCCCATCGCCTTCTTTAATGGTGAAGGGGAGGCGGTTCGAGACGAACATCAGATTGTGCGCTCGCTCGCGGTGTTCGGTTATGGTTGCCATGGTGTGTTGGTGAATGGTTGTCAGTGGAACGGTTCTTTCAGAAAGAAATAACGGCACAATTGATGGAAGCGAATTATGATTAAGCGTTGGGGATCCATGTCACGGTGCACTTTATTCTGCAGGTTTGCTTTTCGTCAGCATGATACGCAAGGCCGTTGACCAGTAGCCGGACTCGCACGCAATGCACCGAATCATGCCTCGGCGTAGAATTGAATTTGAATAATAATTGCCTCTTATCTATTGAATTCGCGAATAGTTCTGCATCAAATATATTCAAAATACGTGTTGACGTCATCAATCATCTCAATACAGTAACCCTATCTAAATCCAAGGGATACATACCACCTTCGGCCCAGCATTTAGTTACAACCAGCAATATCCCCAAAATAATGCAAATGAGCAGCAATTCCCAGCCCCTCCCCCTCCGCCTCCTCATCCCCATCCTTCGAATCCGACTTCTGAATAACTTCAATGTCCGCCGCGGTCACCGTCACATCATCACCGCTCGTAATCCAGTATTCTGGGAATGATTGGGTGTATAGCCATGGAACAGTGGGGACAATGTCGTTAGTATGCGTGACGCGATACAAGGTGCCTTGGCCCTCTATATACTCGGCCAGGGCTTCGTTACCGACGCGTGGGCAGCCATAGGTGTACTGCCGTTTATCAGCCTTCGTCCTGAACCTAAACAGTCATGTGCTGGAATAAACATACCAATTCAATAGTGTGTCCAGCATTCCTCAGCACCGTCGCTGCGATCGTCGCCAGCGCACCACCCAGACTATGTCCCGTAAACACCAACTTATGATCCGGATACTGGCTCACAGCATCATCAACCTTCTCCGTTAACACATCCGCAACCTCCTGCCACGCGCGCCACCACCCGCCATGTACCTCACAGTCAGTGCAGATATCGGGGACATCCTCCCGGATAATTTGTATGTTGTCGACCCAATTTTCTATTGTGCGGGAGCCGCGGAAGGACAGGACAAGGAGGTTGTTAGTTGTGTCTGCGGCGAGGAAGCCGCCGACGTCGTTTTCGCTGTTCTCTCTTTATCAGCATTGCTTTGGTTTTTCTACACGTGCATACGCATGTACATGTGCGTGCATTAGCAGGGGAGGAGAAAGGACGTACGCTTCAAATTCATGAAGCGTGGTCGTTTCGGCTTCTTGCACAATGGCGCAGTTTCCAGCCTCGCAGGTTAATTTGTCGCCGGTGGAGCCGATGTTGCTCGCGCAGTAGGATGCTGCCGAGTACTGTGAGAAGAGTTCAAGCTGCTGCAGCACGTCGGACGACACGGCTATAACGGTCAGTTCCACATCACATAAGACGTGGCCATGTCCATGCATCTCGACATGACATGACATGACATTATCTCAGGAATGTAATTACATACCTCTCGACACCAACCCCCGGTTCGGGGTTGGAGCAGCGATTGTAGATACAGCAAGGGCTGTCACTGCCCATACTCGATTGAGAACCTTCATCTTTTTTCTCTGTCTATATCGACAAACACTGCTACCGCACTGCTGCTAATCCTCCAGACACAAACACAAACGCATAGTAATTCAAATCCCTCGAGGAATACATTCCGGCATTTATACTTCATCCTCCTCTCCATATTCATACTTCAAAGACCCATTTCCCGCCGAGGCTGGCCACCCCGAGCGGGGTGAGACAGGTACAACGCCCGCAGGACTCGAAAAACCGCACCATCCCAGCCGCGCAAAAAAAAAATATATATATACAGAAATACGACAGAATCGGGCTTGGCCGTTTTACGTACAACTGAAAGGCACGAATCATTGATAGACATTCAATCCCGTTCCGGGTTTAGAGTGGAGATCAGCTCAGACTGGTTGGTGAATATGTAAGCGTCGGGGTGTTTGTTATGGAGGGCTTGGGCAATTTGCTTCGCCCCGTGGGCAAGTGAACCTGCATGGCGTGTGATGCGGAGGGAGTTTTAATATACGGCTCCGGCGCTACTGCGAATGGTCACATTGGGTAGGATTCATGTTTTAGTTTACTGTTTCATTTATGGAGAGTCATGGTAGATAGCATTTACTCTGGGGATCGCCGGGGTTTGTCTTAGTGCTGGAGAGGAATTGACCCCTCATGTTTAATTTGGTTTCCCCGGGGCTACTCCGGGGCTATTTCTGCAGGGCTGTGGGTAATCAGATTGGGTAGGTTTCATGCCTCGGCATTTGTTTTCGTCTTCGTTATAGTATAGCTAGATAGAAAGCATTTACATCGGGTGGTCTTTATAGACAGCTGATATACAGAGTACATGTCAAAATCATGAATTAAAAGCCTGGTCATAAAACGAAATAAAAGAGAAAGAAGCGCTCCTAGAACGCCAACCGGCCACGATCAAGCGATGCATCTAACCCCGATATTAGTTCCTGCAGAGGATAAACATCCGTCCCCGATCCCGGAGCAAACACTTACTATCCGAATAAGCCGACTCTTCATGTGCTATCTCAACTCTGAATGTCTGCCCCACCATTCTCCTCGGTATAATCGGCCATCCCCTCATCCTGACCCTCCCCCGCGACCACCTTGGCCTTCGGGATTTGACCCTCAGGCAACGGTGTCCCCGGGGTAGCCGCGACGACGTTGTCATTCTCATCAACAAACTCGAAGTTGTACCGCGAGAGTAAGTGCGGGATGGCGGAAAGTTGGGGACCGTATCGTCCTGTGTTGTCGTACAGTTCGAACAGGGGCACGGCGAGGAGTTTCATGTTCTTGGGGACGGAGAGGACCTCTAACCACAGTTCCGTGTTAGCAACAATCTCACATACCCAGATTTCCCATAGCATGGGTGAGAAGCAGAGAGAGGGCGGGACAGGACGCACTCTTCTTCGGCAACTGAATGAAATACAACTTCTTGCACTCCTTAGGCCTCGTCACATGTCCCGGCAAGAACGGATACATAAAAGTCTCAAAGTTCGGCCTCCACCACTGTGCAAGCGTATCACCAATCTCCCAATCTTCGTTCACGCCCTCGCCAGAAAACTGCGATCCGACCGGTGCAAGACGCTCGTTTAGCCGTTTCTTGAAGCCGTCGACTTCGTCGTCTTCGTAGTGCAGGTAGTCTCCTGGTCTACAACCAACATCATACATAATCAGTATAAGTTCGACCATCATTCCCCTTCTCAAACGGGGTATCCAAGTGCCGGTGCACGTACAGCTTAAAAAACGCATTCGCAATCTGCAACATCAACACATGCGGATGGTTATGCTCATGACACACAAGAACACCCTCGCATGTTCGTCTCATACCATACTGGTCGTAGTGTTCCTCGAGACGCTTTAGACGGGCCAGTACCGACGGGTCTTCTTCTGGTTGCGTTTCCTTGGTGCCGAATGTGTAGTTCGAAAGGGGGTAGAGGCGGATGGTCTGCGGTTGCTGAGCGGAGAAGTCTTTGGGGAGGGTTGGTCTATGATTGAGAGATTGGATTAGTTACTTGAGATCGAACCATAATTCTTGGTGGCTGCTGCTATCTCGTGAAGTAAATAGACGTACGGGCGAGAGCTTTGCATCGCTGTGGCCGTAGTGGTTGCCATTTTGGTGACTGAGCTCCTTCACGGTCCGAATTGCAAGCAGCCAGGCTTTTCTTATCACGAAGACAGAAAATAAGAGGGATTGGTAGGTTGTAGTGTTGATGCTCATCGCAAGTCGGTGCTGCGATCAACAGCTGGAGCTCCGAGCCCGCGGAAACGTTTGGCCGAGCCGAGACACATACAGCAACTACAAAGTACACACAAGAATGAAAAGCACGTAGTCTCAAGGGTTGAAATGCAAAAACATTATCTATGGCTGAATCTAAATTCACTGTACTCATCATATTCATTATCCAAAAACCCAACGACTCCCCGTCATCACCCCAATTCAGCCGAACCAATGCACCGAGATACAAAATGAAACTCATGAAATTAAACTGCTCTCTAGCATGCCATCCACACCATGTCACATAAAAATAAATCAGAGCTTAGCATCAAAATCTTCAAATTCACTGATATCAGTGACAGCATGAGGCCCGGCGCTGACAGCCAGACGAGCCTTGTACTCCGGCACATCAGTGATGTAGGTCACACTTTGCTGGACCTTGCGCTTCTTAATGCCATTGGTCCCAGCAGAGGTCTGCGCTGAGTCCTCGAGATTGTGCTCATCGCTTGGCTCGAAGCCTAGATGCTTCAACTGGAAGCCCAGGATGCGTTCAGCCTGTTCGAGTGCCGGTTTTGTTTGTTCCTCGGAGAGGCTCATCTCATTCAACAGGAATGTGTTAAGAGTAGACAAGATCTGGGCCTTGTCACCGGTCGACACATCGACCTTGGCAAATGCAGTCTCAAAGCGTTTCGAGTCAACTGCGAATCCGGCGGCTTCCAGCTGCTCAACAAGGCTCAGAATCAGCTGGGACTTCCGCTCCGACACACTTGTGGCTTCCGGGTGAGTGCTGTTCTGTGCAATGAGGTGCACAGCGAGCTTGGCCCGAGTGATAGACTGAGGGTTGATGTATTGCTCGTAGAATTGGATGGCATCCAGCTTGGTTAGTGTTCGGACGGTGGCAGCGTCGACCTCATTTTGCACGAAATCAAAGTATTCCGAGCCAATGTGCGTCCAGAATCGGCTAGTCTCGGAACTCAGGTTCTTGAGCGTCTCGAGTCTCTTCTTGATAACGCTGCGCTTGTGGCCCTCGAATTCTTGATTTGACATGTCCGCCAACTTCTTTCCGAAGTCGCTCAAGAAGGAATCGATACGAGACTCCAGATACTTCGCATTGCGTTCACTCTGAATAATGACCCGATACCCGATGGTAGTGGCGGAGTAGCGAGCGCCGCTCCAGACAACATATCCCAGCTGTTCCTTGCTCCGTAGTTGGTCGAACGCGGGCTCGTCAGTCATCTGAGCAAACAGCAGAAGCTTAGCCCGGAGAACGTGGTCCATGCTGCTTCCGGCGAACAAGTAATATTCGATACAGTGATTGACGTTTGCAGGGTCCTTAAGGGTCCGCTCATAGACGTAGTTGCTTCCCGGGGGGATAATCATGTTGCGCCTCACGTTCCACTGAGACGGAGGCAAAGGCCTGCTCTGTAGTACCTTCTCCACCGAGTCCGTCATCCGAAGAGCATCCTCCTTGTATAGGTTACCGTGGGCCAGGACTTCGATATGGGTTTGTTGCAGGATTTCTTGGAAGAATGCCGAAACCTCCTCGGCTTCGATGAATTCCAATTCTGCAGCAAACTGCTCGTTGATCCAGGTCCTCTCTGCCGTCAGGTATCTGGTGAATTCTCCGACTTGGTAGAACGGCTGTTGATATTCTGCGTTACGGTAGGCCCGGGACAAACGCTCCTTGACGACGTGGAACCGCTCCGGTTTGACCTCAAGGTCACGCATGCCTGTCAACACCTTCTCCAGGAGCACTGACATCTTGTCGTTGTATCCGCCAATCGAGATATCGAAGCCGAACATGCTGGAAGAGAGGTTGTAGTCCAAACCGGCAAGCTCTGCGTCGTAAGAATACTCATTCAGAGAATCTCTCACAAGCTCACAATACAGTCGGGATTTCACATAGTTTGCAGGCGTCGCCCAGACCAACGGGTTCCTGAGGGTGATTTGCAAAATGGCTTTGGGGACCCAGAAACGGTCGTCCTTCTTGAACCAAAGACGAACACGGTCATCGTGGCGGATAAGCTTCGGTGTCTTGGATGGCTCCGAGACTTCCTTCTTCTCCACAGAAAGTCGGGTCGGGACAAACTCGTTCTTGTGGGGCATGTGCAAGTCAGACGTTCTGGTTTCGGGAGTGCTGGCCAGCGCCTTCTCGATTTCTGACATGAAGTCCTCGGGGATCTTCTCAACCTTGTGTTCTGTACCGTACCACTTTTCCTTACGGTCCCAGTCACCCGGGTATTCTTGGGCCACAATGACAGCCCGGAAATTGTCTGCCCGGAAGGCTGACAGTGCCTTCTTGATAAGCTTGGCATCGAATGTTCTTAGATTCGAGCCACTCAGCAGCCACTCTCTAGGCAAAGGCTTCTGCATGACACTGCTCAAGCGGCTCGTGAAGCGACTGGCCGGGGACTTCTGTCTGAACCGGAAGTCAACTTCAGTGAGATCCTTCATTTCGTCAAAGATCCACTGTTCTGGCTCGCGTTCCTTGACCATGGCAAGGTACTCGAAGATCACCTTGGCCACTTCACGGTGTTGCTTCAATCCTTCCTTGGTCAACTTGACAGAGATGGTGAAAAAAGCAGATCCAGGGCAAATAGGCATGGCACCGGCCGATAAGCCATTTGCCCAACCCTTCGCCTTGATATAGGCCAAGATACTACCTGGGCCCTCGTGACCCACCAAATGACTGAGGTAGCGGCTTGGTTGGGACTCGTACAGGAACTCTTCGTCAAGAAATGGGAAATAGAAATCCAATGACCGAGTATCCATGACCGGCTTGGCGAATATTTGAATCCCCAGATGTTCGGACAACCATGGCTGTACATCGTCCCACCGATTTTGCGGCAAGTCCTTGTTCTTCACGTCGCTGAAAAAGTCACCAACCCACTTCTCAAGATCGTCCAGCGATTCCCGTCCAAGAACGACAAGCTTCATGCGGTTAGCTGAGTAATGTCTCTCGTAGTGTTTAATGAATTCATCGCGGACATTGAGTCCGCGTTTCTCTGGCTCCTCCTTCAGTGTCTGCAAGTTGCCAGTGGAGAAATGGCTGTACGGGTGCTTGGGGTTTGATAGAGACTTGTTCAACTGCATCAGACGCCATAGGTCACTCTGAAGATTCTTCTTGTTCTCCGAGTCCACCGCTCTTAATTCACGATCGAGAGTCGATTCCAGGAACAACGGACTGACAAAGAACTGTGCGAAACGGTCGAGGGCTCCGTAAAGGGGCGATAGGGGGGGTTCTTCAGACTTTGCAGTCCCATTTTGCTTTACATCAGGGCCATTGGTAGACCCATTGACCGATCCATTAGTGGCAGGTTGGTGGTGCGCATGGTCGTCAGTCGATGTAGCAGACACTTCAAAGAAGTAGTTTGTCTCTGTTGCTGCAGTGTAGGCGTTGGATGATCCCGAATGGGCGGCAAGATATTGGTTGTAGGCATTCTCTTGAGGGAACTATTGTTGCAGGGGTCGGTCAGTTCTCAGCTCTAGAAAGGCACAACAAGCGCAAGGCTGCTTACCTTCTCAGTTCCCATAAATAGAAGATGCTCGACGGCATGGGAAAGCCCCGCCATGTCATCATAGTCTGAAAAGTTTCCCACATTGACGTTGCAGGCCGCGCTGGCTTTGTCTGTATCGGGATCATGAACTAAGAGAGCCTCGAGCTTATTTTCTAGACGGATCACTCGGTATGATCTGTTGTCAACCTCCGGCTTCTCCAGGTATTCTGTCAGACGTTCAATTGGCCCCATGGTCACGGAATGTGTGGAGAAAGGTTTGCAGGAGAACTGGGAAAAGAAACGGCCGGCTGACGGGCTGGACAATAGACGGCTCCGATACGGGACCGGCGGACGTGGCAGAACAGAGCAATGAGACGCGGCTGCGGCGATAGTGCCAGGACGGAGGAGCGAGCGACTGGCTGGGATATACAGACGACCTCCGATGTTCCACAGGTGAGGAGGCACAAAGGACCTTGGAGGCATGCAAGTACAGCAATGGGCAAGACGACGTTTGATGCACGGGATTCACCTCAATGGGTAGCGTACAAACGGCGGACGAAATAGAACAAATGGAAAATTCTGGATGAGCAAGAAAGGGAGTACGAACGAGTATGCGCAAGGATACGTGCGCAATGCAATAATGGAAGCGAAAGGGGACACCAAAGCATCCGCCACTATGAGCCAGATCGATAAACCCGCCATTACTCATTAGTGGTAGGATCGACCGAAGGCGGTGACCGGGGTATTGCTTCTCTCGGTAAGCGGTGAGTGTCCCCAGACAACAGAGGAACTGGGGAGTCAAAACCATGCAAGATTTACAGGGAATTGATAGGTTGACAGGACGCTGGAGGAAAACGACGACAGGAGAAAGTGGCAGAAAAACCAACTAGGAAAAGCGTCACACAGCGTGTTCAGCACCACTACGGTTGGGAATTGCGTGATAAACGTTGTTCTCCTTGCATATACACATGCCTGAAAAATCTGACCAGGTTGAATATGATGTTATATACCATATATAACATATATGGCGAAGCATATTATCAATAGCCCCGATGGTCTAGTGGTATGATTCTTCGTTCGGGTCAACAAATCTGATATCGAAGAGGTCTCGCGTTCGAGTCGCGATTGGGGCCATACCTTCTTTTTTTTTTTTTGCTATGTAGTCATGACTCTAGACGTCTTATTTCTTGTTTCTCATTTCTGTTATTTTTCTTTTCCTATCGTTGTTTTGTTTTCAGCTGTACAAACGAGTCAGTGTGAAACAAACAATGTCAACGCACTGTCCCACTTGACTCGTTATACTCGAGGTTCGTTATACTCGAGGTTCGTTATACTCGAGGTTAATCATTACATCCTACGCCCTACAGAGCCTATAGTACATCTACGCCCCTTGTGGGTCACATCTGACAACCCCTCAACCCCGCGGCCAGCTATCAATCATCTAAGCCGCTGCTGCTGCCGTATATTTGTATTCAACTTGCCCGTATCACCATCAACATGGATTTGGCACAATCACTCGAAAATGCCACCAACACACAACCTATCCGCTGCATCGACATGCACACCACCGGTGAACCAACCCGGATCGTCTACTCAGGCTTTCCATCACTGTTCGGGACACTACTAGAACAGCGCGATCAAGCGATGCGCGACTACGACCATGTCCGTCGACGGCTTATGTTTGAACCGCGTGGTCATGACGGCATGTACGGTGCGATTATACGACCGGATACTGAACTCGTTCGATCAGGAGAAGCTCATGTTGGGACCCTGTTCATTCATAATGAGGGGTTCTCGACAATGTGCGGGCATGCTACTATCGCATTGGGCCGATTCTTGGTTGATACCCATGACCGTGCTGTTTTTCCGCAACGGGGGTCGCTGAAACTTGATTTGGAGACACAAACGGTTGGTATCAATATCCATGCGCCTTGTGGATTGGTCAGAGTGGCTGTTCCTGTTACATTAGATGGGAGGAAGTCTGATGCATCGCGGCCGGTGATTTTCTTGTCCACGCCGGCGTTCGCTAGTGCGATTCAGTTGAAGGTACCGATTCCGGCTGAAATTAGATGGCCGGAACTTGGTGATAAGGACTCTATTTGCTTGGACGTCAGCTACGGCGGTGCTTTCTACGCTATTGTTAATGCGTGCGACCTAGGGTTATCTAATGGTTTGAAAAATGTGGACCTGGATGCTGTGACTCAATGCATGCAGAAGCTGAAGCCTTATCTTGAGTCGACACCCAAAATCAAGTCTGCAATTCAGCACCCCGAAGACGAGCGTCTATCGTTCTTATACTCTGTGATGATCGTCGATCCCAACAGGGGGCACAAACCAGACAGCGTGGTCAGCGCAGAGACGGGTCTTTGCTACTTTGCTGAGAACCAAATCGACCGATCTCCCACGGGATCTTGCGTGACAGCGCGGATGGCCCTTGCTCATGCAAAGGGATTAAGGCCCGTTGGCCAACGTTGGGCATATAACTCTCTTGTCTCGAACTATTTCGGGACCGGCGCTTTTAGCGCTGAAATTGTTGAGAAGGCTACGATATATGGACCAGAGGGAAAGTCTATTGAATCTGTGGTGGTGCAGGTAGAAGGTCAAGCGTTCTACACAGGAACGTCTACCTTCGTCGTTGAGGACGGCGACGTGACTTCCTCGAGCGGTTTCACGATGAGCATTGTAGCATAGATGTCATTAACAAAATACAATCAACTCCAACTGTCTACATCACATTCCCGTGCTAACCGCATCCAACAAATGCCCAACAAACACCTCAACATCGACCAACCAAGGACTATCCCCTGTCTTCATCCCCACTGTCCTCATATCTGCACCCTCCGTTTACGCACGCTCGACCATCTTCCGCTGGAACTCTGGAGTAACTGCATTATTCTTCGTATAAACCAAGTACGTCAACGGGACTCCGAGCCACACGGCGCCCATCGCTGGTAGCCCCATACTGAGCAATGCATGCGGCCGCATGGCAGCAGCCCATTTCAGAGCTTCAGCCGCGGGGAGGTCGAAGTAGAATCGGTAGATCGGGTCATCCGGGAATAGGGGTTTTGTTTCCTCCTGTGCCCACGTTAACATATGTAGTCGAAAGACAAGGGAAGCAAAAGGGACGTATATTCACAACCCACCAATTGATATTCATCTCAGCGAAATATTCCAACAAATTCTCTCCCAAGTTGCCGAAAATGGAACTGATAAAGAATAAATAGCCAACTCCTCCATTAAGTCCTTCGCTTGTCTCTCGGCCCTCGTTAGCCCCTGCAATTCCGAGCAACAAGGTACACCAGCCCAGTTGTGCATGATGAGAACGACATCTTGTCCTACTTCGACAAGTGGCTCAATAACACTCCGCATTCCAGCTATATCTTCGTCAGTAACACATCTTTGTTTTCCGTTGCGCGGGTGACGGATGGGAAGGTGATGGAGTCACTCGTAACCTTGTTCTATGAGGATGGTTTTCACGTTGTCGAAGGTGTTAGCTGGGTATCGGGTGCCAGAAACGAAGACAAATACCGGTTTAGGCATGCTCTCTTCTTTGCCTTCTAGTGGGAGTGGAAATGTACACAGGTACAGAGTACGGAGATGAACTCTAGGATAGAACCCGGGGATATATATATACAAGGGGCAAACAAGTCTGAACGCCCCTTACACTGCAAACAATATGTTGCTCTTCGTTACAACGCCATATAAAACCTCATAGGTGCTAGCACTAGCATGCAATCACAGCTATTGCATTCCTGCAGCATTGATTGATGCACCTGTATTGATACGCACACGTCCAAGGTATATGGTTAGGGTTGCACAAATAAGATAGACTTATTTATCAAAATATACAGCCAGTAAATATCAAGTCCTCGATGGTCTAGTGGTCATGATTTCCGCTTGTCAGCTTAATAACTGCAAGCGCGGGAGACCTGGGTTCGATTCCCAGTCGGGGAGTTTTCTTTTTGCGTTTTATTTTTTTCTTATTATCTCCGCATCGAAGAGGGCCCTTTTTGTTTTCTTCTTTCTCATTCTTTATCGTGATCTGAACGGTTTCTGGTTTTTGCCTATGGCCATGACGGTTCTATATGCCTAGAACTACCCACGATGTTGTTTCAGGCAGACAAGCCCTGACGAAAACCAAAAATTATTGTGATATAACTTGTCGCGAATCATTACGCGGATCGACTCACACCGAGAGATTCAATATACCAGTATTCAATCTTGCCACCTGAATAGAAAGTACCGTAGCGAGTCCCAAATGCCTCCAAGACAGATCCTCTAAAGCCAGACGATGCCAGTAACAATAGAACTAAGTAAACAGTCCATGAAAATCATCTTCAATCCGATTCATACTAATGCCTTCATCCACATCGGCGACAGAGAAAGAAACCTCGTGATTATCGTTACCATCGGAGTCGTCAGAGTCATAACTGTAAGGGGAAAGAGGTACGATTACGGTAAGAACAACAACCCTCACGACTTCTATAATCGCGAACCCAGTCATATCCGTCGGCATCGAACAGCCCGTCTCCTGAGTATGCGAGGATTAATCGGACATTTTCGATGAAAATGGGGCCAAATAGCCTTTCACTCAGGGGAATATGTCTTGATACAGTAGCAGTAATGTATCTTGGGCTTTGGTTCAGTATGTTTTGATGAGACTAAATTGGGTTTGACCCACCCCATTTTGACCAGTTGCTGTCTGTGATGGGATAGAAAAGTAGTGAAGCTGGCTTGAGAGATGAAAAGGTGACATGTATTCTCTACGTTTCCCCCCCATTCAAGCCAACCCAAACAAGGTTGACTACTAAGCAACTCCAACATTTGCCCGTCACCCCAGGGAAATCCAAATCTCAGATCTGGATAACCCGGCATGAGCTCTGCATCCTCTATCCCAGAGTCTACCAAGCTTCCATCGCTATCAAAGCGGCGCAATCCATCAGAAACTGGGGATTGAATGACTGACATTGTTGGATGTGTTAGCACCGTTATTTGCACTAGACGGTACATCCAAGTCTTCAGAAGTGGTATAAAAAAGCGGGTGACAGAGGTCCAGCAGAGAAGTAAAGAGACAATGTAATTTAGTAGCTGAATTTGATGTCCGTGTGAATTGTGAAAGCTTGTCGGTGACATTTTGCATCAATTTGGAGATCAAGCACATTGGAAGTGCCGACTACATTGCAGAAAAGGGAGAAAAAAGGGTGGAGGGGGAAGAGGAGGATTGTCCTAGTTATTATCACGTTAGTAAGGGATCCGTGCTGTCGGTTTACATTTCTTACCAAGTAAAAAAAGAGGCGTTTGGCTGTGATGGGTTGGATTCAAGGGCTCGGTTCTGTAAGTGATAAAATATGCTAAGCGCCCCACGAGCGTTCTCGAGACTCTTTTCCTGGTATTTTTTCTCCTTGAATAAATTGACCGAAATTGGAAGAAGCTGTTGAGCATGATATAGGTCAGCATGATGGATGCTCCGAGCAGCGAACGTTGACGGGCTATACACCTACCCCCTATATTAGTGTTTGAACGAGCGTAAGAGTGAGAGAAAAAAGCGGGTTAATTTGTTTTAACGCAGTGAGTGCCGTATTCTTGTAGTAATGTTAAGTTTGTTCATATGCTTTAAAAATGTCTCGTAATGGCGTGCAGCAGCCCATCCGGAAATGCGAAACATCTCCTTGGTGTACACGCACACTTGATATTGAAGAAATACCTGGTAATTTTCATTCCTATCCATCAAAGCAAAAACCATAGTTTCAAGTTTCCTCTGAGAGATATGATCCTGCCACTGGATCTTGTAGTCTATTACCAAATGTCAGCCATTGACCAGCACATGAAAGGCTAAGAAGACCTTACCTGACGACAAGATATACAGAAGCTCTCTGACCGAAAAGTCTCATTTGGATTGGTATTTGTAGCGGTACCGTCAACAGGCACTTCAAAATCACTTGCAAGTCCCGAGCCTATGCTCGACATCTGACTGACAACCTCCAATGCGGACTTCAGCACGCCGCGTCTCGTAGGACTCATCTCACAATCTTCATTAGCCTTGGAAGGATCGTTTCATGTGCTTCAGCTTAGTGATGTGTAGCCTGTCCTTGGACAAGATTTGTACTTTTCGGGAGGCCGAAAGTATCTTCAATTTCCTCAGGTATCGGCCCGCTTGCATTATTCCTAGTAGCCCTTGTATCAGCCCTAGGTATAGATTGCTTAGGTCTAGAAGTTTGATCACTATTACGGGAAATATATCAGCATAAGTAACCGTGACAAAGCAGAGAGGTAACATACTTAGGAGAGACGTGAGAAGCACTCTCTAAAGTCTCCAGTCTTTTCGCAAGAGCCGAGATCCTGTCATTCCAATTAGTCGCCAACGACCAACTTATAAATGAACATACGCCAGTCGGCTTACTTTGACTGCCGAGAGCGTACACTCCGGGTAAGACGAGTCCGAAGACATGGCACCTCTGCTGTTCGGCAATTCCCACAATGCTCTTCCCTATCGCGTTTCACCTAGCCCCAATAAGCGACTATTACTATAATCAGACTTAGGCTGATCTAACATTCCGCAAGTGGCACAAATCGCACTATGCATGAAAAACATTAGCGGGAAAGGGGCGAGTAGCTAGATTCAAAATGACGTACCGCCGCCCTATTTTGCTGCCGGGCCTGAGGAGCCATATATACAGCAAATAATAATGTACAGACACGATAATTGATAAGATAATTCTAATCTAGCGCCTGACTATCTAGCCGGTGATATCGAATGCTCAGAATGATTTTTAGGTGAGAAATTCGGAGGAGGGAGAATCGGACCAGCTCGGCTTTCGGGCCCGATAAGCTTCCGAGAGATGTATGCTGCCCTAATTATGTGACCAGTTGATTGATTTTACTCTTCTAAGTTGACTTTCTTGCAATCCGTTATTGCTCAAAGTGATTTACAAGATGTAGCACAAGGAAAACGAGAAAGTAAAGATAAAAGAAGGGATGAACGACAGTGTCCCCTTTAAGACCCGCAAGAAGAGGCCTCGCCCGGAGAACAGCAGTGACGAGGACAAACCTTTGGTGAGTGTCGCCGGCTATAAAATAATAAGTGGCAGCATACACTAACTTTCATCTCAGTCGATACAGTTATATCGAGAACGAGGTCGAAATATCAATCATAATCGAGCGGATTTGGCCAACGGCGAAAGCCTCGACACCACAATCACGAAACCCATCAGATGCGAACACTCCGAGTCTGATTCTGATATGCCCCTTATGAAACGAGATACTCGAAGTAGTGAAGGTCATTGTATGTCCCTATATCTCAACCAAGCGATAGATTGCCAACTCAGTCCTCCAAACGAGTTTCCATAAAGACCGAAGATGATTCAAAGGAGGCTGTCAAAATAACGCATCGGGTCAAAGTTCAGACAGCCAGGGACAGGAAGGCGATACAGCAGGAAACGAATGGCAGAAACAGCCCGACAAGCATGACGGCACAGTTAAATGGGCAACACTCGAGCATAACGGCGTGTTATTCCCATTTCCTTATACTCCCTTACCGGCAGTTGTAAAGATGAGGTACGATGGGATCCCGAGCACACTCGAGCCGAAGCCGAAGAAGTTGCATGCTTCTTTGGAGAAATGCTGGATGCCACGCACTATGTCGACAATGGTACTTCCAGGAAGAATTCCTTTGAGGATTTCTAAAAAGTTATCAAGAGAACCTCAGGCGCCTGGAATTTGCAGGGAAAGGTTTCACAAGTTAAGAATATGACCAAGTGTGACTTCTCTCCTATATTCGAACATTTTCAGATCAGAAAAGCTCAGAAGAAAGCTGAGCCACTGGCCCAAAGAAACGGACAAAAAGCTGCTAGAGATGCGTTGGAGGAGCCTTTCAGACATTGCACTTGGGATGGCCAACAGCAAAAAGTGGGAAATTTTCGAATTGAGCCACCTGGGCTCTTCCGGGGCCGCGGAGACCACCCTAAAAAGGAAAAGACCAGAGCTTTGTCAGAGCAAGTGACGCTCAATATCGGCAAGGATGCGGATGTGCTTCCGCCCCGTAGGACACCAGTGGAAAGATATTAAGCATGACCAAGACGCGACATGGCTAGCAATGTGGTAGGGAAATGTGAACGGAGATTACAAATATGTCATGCTAGCGGCCAACTCGAAAATTCGGGGACAGAGTGACTACAAAAAGTTTGAGACTGCCCGCCAGCTAAAGCAGCATATCGATCGCATACAGCATGATTACCAGTAGGGTCTCCGGCATGAGCTCATGGCAACACGCCAGTTAACGACTGCCATGTACCTCATTGACAAGCTTGCCTTGCAAGCCGGTAATGAGAAAGGGGAGGGCGAGGCAGATACCGTCGGTTGCTGCTCCTTGAAACACGAAAATGTAACTCTGAAACCGCCAAATACCGTAATACTTGACTTTCTGGGCAAAGACAGTATTCGATTCTATGACGAAGTTGAAGTAGGCCGGCAGATCTTCAAAAATATTAAGATCTTCAAGAAATCCCCGAAGAAGCAGGGAGATGAGATCTTCGATCGGTTGACGGTATGTTAATACTTCATTTCAAGCGTGAGGTCTTGACATTCTGACTGTTTTGACCAGACATCTGGGCTAAATAGACACCTTTCCAGCTATATGTCCGGCCTAACTGCCAAAGTATTTCGTACTTTTAATGCTTCGCTAACTTTCTCTAACCTGCTGAAGACAATGAAGCCCGAAGGCTCTGTTACTGAGAAAGTCAAGGCATATAACGATGCGAACAGAACTGTTGCCATTCTATGCAACCACAAGCGAGCCATTACTACCAGCCACTCGGCGCAGATGGAAAAGCTTCGTGACCGGGTATGTCAAACACTTTATACCCAAATCCGCGACCCATACTCATTCCCCGTAGGAGAAAGCACTACAGTACGAAATCTGGCGTCGTAAGCAAATAATGCTTAACCTGGATCCTAAAATCCGGGAAGCATTGGGAAATGGTTATTTCGAGCGGGATCGCTGTCTGAACCTGAACTGGATCAAAGAACACCAGCTCTCGCTGGTAGAAGAAAAGCGCAAAAAGACCATGAAGAAATTAGAAGCGGATCCGGCAAGACTGCAAAGAGGACTCGAACTGGTCAAGGAGATGGAACTGGATAAATAGGTATATATATTTAAGCCACTGGATAATAAATTTTATAGTCAATGTGGTTAAAATAGCCCAATGATCATGCTCGGTGGTTGATTGCATTACATCAAATCTCAATGATTCTCATTATAGCATAGTGCTATACCTAAATAGGAATTCTGCAGTCCGAGCAGCAGAAGGGCATCAATCTAGCACTAACCTTCTTGGAACTATATATAGCTCACCTACATGGTATGTGAACTCCCGATCATTCCTCCTTGCGTTAGAATCTCTAAAAATATGACGTACCAGATGAACCCATATCCCTTTTCAAGCAGTGCCAAAAACCTAGTACACTCAGTACCATATCATTAGCTTTTCAAAACACAAAATGCAAGTTATTCGAGAGATATTCCATGACTTCTTACGCGAGTGGAAAATAAGCGGAATGAGCGAATATACCAGACTAGAGCGGCCGTCAGACAGTGACGACGATGCAGAGGTCGAGACAGGGATACACGATGAACACCCCCAGCGAACCTTCCAAATACACGACACAAATACAACTACAATAGCGACAGAAGTAAAGTCTATAACCAAAAACGCTACACCGGTAGTTCTCTCCCTTCTCCTCGAATACTCCCTCACCACCATCACCGTAATCACCGTCGGGAACCTAGGAACCGTCGAACTCGGCGCCGCCAGTCTCGCCGGCTTCACAGCGAACGCCACCGGCTACGCTGTGTACTATGGCCTAACTACGAGCCTGGATACGCTATGCGCGCAGTCCTACGGGTCGGGAATGAAGCATCTCACCTCTGTGCATCTACAGCGAATGGCCCTTTTGCTGACCCTGGTGACCATTCCACTAGCGGCGCTGTGGTGGTGCGCGGAGGGGATTCTGGTACATATTATACCAGAGCAAGATACGGCTATGCTGGTGGGGAGGTATTTGCGTATAGCGGCGTGGGGGATGCCGGGGTATGCGGCGTTTGAGGCTGGGAGGAGGTATATCCAGGCACAGGGGTGCTATTCGGTGGGGATGTATGTGTTGTTGATATGTACGCCGATCAGTGCTTTCTTGAATTGGTTTTTGGTTTGGGTATGTAAACACTCTCATGGGTCACAGAAGTGCAAAACTGACATTCATAGAACCGTGGGATGGGCTTTATTGGCGCCCCCATAGCCCTGTCTCTGACAGACAACCTCATAGCTCTCACTTTCTTCCTCCTTGTCTACTTCTTCTCTCTAGACAAGTGCTGGACTGGATTTACGCAACAATCTCTCCGCGGCTGGGGACCCATGATCCGCCTCTCAATCCCAAGTCTTCTAACAGTCGAAGTCGAGACGCTCGCCTACGGCCTTAACACCTATGCTGCGTCGTATCTAGGTCCCTCCATCCTAGCAACGCAGACTGTCCTCTCCACCGTCTCAAACATTTTTTGGCATATTCCATTCGCGATATCCACGTCATCCCGAATTCGCATCGGGAATTGGATCGGCGCCGGGAGTCCCAATGCGGCAAGGCTAGCCACGCGTGTCTCGCTGTATGTTGCCGTCGGTGTTGGATGCGTAGGTATGTCCTTGCTTTTGGTGTTTGGACGGTACATTGTACGTATATTTGCAAAGGAAGATGATGTGATTGAGATGGTTCTGAACATTTTGCCGGTGTGTGCGGTCTGTCATGTTGTGGAATGCGTCGCTATCATTAGCAACGGGATTCTGTGCGCCATTGGACGGCAGGATGTAGCGGGATGGGTGCAGACAGGCGCTTTTAGTGTCCTTGGTCTCCCGGTTGGGTTTGGGATCGCATTTGGGCTTGGGTGGAATGTTTCGGGGTTCTGGATTGGGACGCTGTTGGCGTTGTGTGTGGTAGTTTGGATAGAGCTGGCGTTTATTAAAAGGGTCAATTGGAAGCGATGTGTCCAGGATGCACAGAAAAGCATGTCTGCCGCTGAAAATTGACCTGGTAATCTCTATGTATATCAATTCTACAGACTAAAATCTAAACACCATTCCACATCCACGCCAACTGCACCGAAGCCAGACACCCAAGACCCGCAAGCGCAAGAAACACCATTTCTAAACCTGCATATCCAGCAAAATTTTCGGCACCAGCGAGGAGAATTGGGACAGCCCCGGTGGCCATGTTCATGAGACTCGTATTGACCCCGAATCCAAACGTAATCACTTCCTGATGGTTTTCGGAGTCATCGGTGTCTTGATTCGCATCATCGGAGTCAACCGTTCCATAACACCCCTCGGGCGCATCTTGCAGTATCCCTCTGTGTTTTGCAGCAGAGCGAGTTTTGCCCACAAAGATAAGGCATCGTGTGAGACTGGTCCAGAATGCAACCCCAAAAAGTGCATACGCAATTCCCAGTAAGCACAGTGGAGGAATTGGGCCAATGCCGGGACTGATCAGGAATATTAGATGCGCAAGGAACATAAGCAAGCTAGTAATGATTAGAGCAGCGGGATAGTGATTGAATAATGGTAGATCCAGTAAAAGGCCCAACGGAGGAACCAAAACACTTGATAAAATGTATGGAATACTATATTAGACTCATTAGCCTCCCAAAACAGCACACAGAGAATAATAATGACATCTGCAACTTACCTTGTCGCCGAACCAGCAGCGCGCTGATCCCCACCATAGAATGTAAATGCGAGGAACCGCTGTGCCGAATTTGTAAATGTGTTGATGCTTCCATATCCCAGCATGCAGATGAGTCCGAGCTGCCAGAATATCCAAGGATATTTGGAGAACGAGGCGGGAATGCCGATGTCTCGTTCTCTTTCTTCTACCTCTCCTTCGCCACCGTGGTCGCCAGTTACTGAACTCACAGAGTCCTTGATAGACATCAGGTAAGTCGCGCTCAGAATCGATACTCCAAGCGCGAGTACGGTGCCCATCCACCCCGCAGCAACAACACCATGGACCTTGGCCAGCCGCGGAACGAGAATCGAATTGGTAACACTGCCTAGTCTCCACGATGCGAGATTCATCGCCAATGCCAGCGAGAGGCGCTTATCTCTGCCTATGTGTTAGCAGTAACAGATACTACCTGTAGTAAAATGTACGGACCTAAACCACCGCGTAGTAACCTCAGTTCCCAATACCCCCATAATCTCAGCCCCAAGCCCGAGCAAGAACCGGCCTAGGATCATTCCCGACTGGAACCGTATATGGACGGCAAATACAAATACTAACTGCCCGAGAACCACACTCGTGAGTGTCAGCAAAAGAGCGAATTTCTCGCCGAAGCGTTGCACGAGGGGTCCGGAGAAGAAGGGGAGGATCGAATTTGGAGCCGCGTATGCGGTATACAGCGCGGATACGAGGTAGGCGTATTTCGAGTCGGAAAGACCTAAATGTGCTTGTAATGAAATTGATAGCGAAGCCGGGAGGTCGTATACTATATTTTGAAGTTTTCCAGTATTAGATCCGTACAAAGCACTTCGAGTAGATGCCCTATTTACTAAAGTAAACCCCCCACATTAGAGTGCAGACGGCTGTGAGGATGCACCAGTGGCGTCCAGAGGCCCTAGACATCATTCGATACAGTGTCGACCGTCAAAACGAGGGAAATGTTGAAAAGGTTAAGAGTACTCCGTACGGAGTACTGGCGTTGCTGTCTTTAATCATACCGCAATCCACACAGTTGCGGTGACCTGGAAGTACAAGGCAGCTATGCAAGGCAAAAAAAAAAAAAGCAAAAACCTGCACTTCGTACGTTAGGTTCTAGTCTAGCTGCCCACTCATTACTGCCTCATTACCTGAGGAAGAGAGGGGTAGTATACAAAAATGCAATGTGATTCGATGATGCTGGATGAGAGAGGGGGTACATGTATATCCTGATTGGCATTCTACATGGGCGTTTATCGATTGTGCATCGGACAATGCTATTGCCATTCCGGATAAACATCTTATTGCTTGCATCAATGTATATTTAAGTGGCCTAAGAAATCGACTAGTTCCCGGTTAGGGATAAGACAGGCCAGCTATCTTGGCTTCAGCTGCGCCCGATGCAGTGGGGTTAAGCCTCGCCCATCTTGCGCCAATTGCTGTTCAATGCAAGTGACACGCTGGTTGATGATGCATTCTGTATGCTCAATTGGCCATGAGAGAATCATGGACAACCATAAGTGAGAGGTGCAGCAAAACCTCCTTTCACCCCCCTGTATATAATGGCCCGCATCCACCAGGATCGATCTAAAATTCGATTCGTTATTGTCTTAAAAATAAACAATTCATCACAATGACAATTCCAGGTCAATTGGCTCGTGTCGATTCATTATTCCCACACATTAAAAAAGATTGGTGGAAAGACGCTTATAATGAGACCTATCTGTATGCCAACGCCGAGTGCATGGAGATTCCAGCCATCACGGCAGAAGAATGCGATAGGTTGCTAAATGTCGCCGACATACGGCAACTCTTCCAAAACGCCACTCCTAGGTCCCCGGTGCATGTCCTGGATCTGGGTTGTGGCCAGGGTCGACACTGCCTCCACTTCGCAAAGCGCTTCCCACGGTATTGACCAAAGCGCCTATCTCCTTGAGATAGCCTGAGAGCGCGCAAAGATTGAGAAAGTGACTGGTAACACCAAGTTCGAAGTGGGCGAGTTGCGCCAGCTTCCTGTCGCTGACAATCATCTCGATGTCATTGTCCTTCTCGGAAATGGCTTCGGGCACGGCAGCGATCAAGGCAACCTACAGATCGCCCGGGAGGCTCATCGGGTCCTAAAGCCAGGAGGTATTTTATTATCGACTATGTGGACGGCGAGTACATGCGGTCCAACTTCTCCCCGAGCGGGTGGGAGTGGCTCGATCCCGACCTTGTGACTGGAGTGGATAAGCATTTAAACATGAAAAGGCCAGACATGAAGCTGATGGCGTGTCGGGAGCGCGAATTGTCACCGGACAGAAAGGTTCTCGCGAGCCGGGAAATAGTGATTGATCTGGCAGCTCCGGCCGTACTCCGGGACCAGTTTTACTGCTTCCGGATGTATGACATGCAGGAGATGGAGGCGCTCTTTCATCAGACTAGGTTGTGCCTGCAGCCCCAATACTTGAAACAGATGAAAGACCCCAAAGTGCGACTGGCGCCGCAGACGCTGGTATGATGGAGTACCGGCAGCTGGTCGTTGGACAGAAGCCAGGAGCAACTCTTCCTTCCCCACCCCCGCTCGTTCCCCAAGACGCGGACCTATACATCCACCCGCATCTGACCCAGGACTATGACCAAGGGAAAGGCCGGTCATTGCGTGTTTTGGAACCCATGTCGGCTGGTACAGTTCTCGTGGCAGATCCTCCGTACGCCGTGGTTCCCGCGGAAAATTCCTCGACATACCGTCTGATGCAACGATCATTGCCGGGGCAAAGACAGAACTCACGACTTTGAATATGCCTGGATCAAGCAACACGGAAAAACGATCCGCAAAAAAGAGGGCGAATATGCTCTTTCCATGCTCTGGATTATTGTTCGAATGCATGCGGGACGCCATCTGGAGATACAGGGCGAGTCCGGTTTTCACCAGCACTACCCATGGCAGGACAAATACCCGTCGGATGGAAGGCAATGGAAGACCTCCGCGACAACAGAGATCTCTGGCCTCAGGAGCAACTTGATACCTGGCGAAGACAGATCGAAACTTATTTCATCGACCATTGGGGACTACCTGACACGGAAGAGGTCTTGATGCTGATCTGCAAGGAGGAGGCAAATACATTTGGACTCTACCCAGGTGCTACAGGGATAATCCAATCCACGGACAAGCCGCATAAACGCGGTCCCCAGTATGCACTGGGCTGTTACCCTCGAGCGTCCATGGTCAATCATTCCTGTTTTCCGAATGTAAGCTTCTCCATTCATATTCTCAATCGATGGCGAGACACTGACAAGATAGATCACTTGGGCAGCGGATGAGCGTGGGCGGTTAGTCTTTACCACATCGCGAGATATTGCTGCCGGAGAAGAATGCTGCATTGCGTATTTTGACCTGTCCATAAACGCGGACTTCCAGACAGAGGCAGACAAAGGACCTATTTACTTTTGCCTGTACGTGCGAACGGTGTCTGAGGGAGGGCTGGAATGCATAAATATGCCGTAGATACCTTTGAGCGAATGGATGCTTTGGTGTGTTATTATAAAACAAATAAAGCAAAAACTAGGTGACGTTCAGTGAAGTGAGGGGTATGAGTGTAGTTTATAGAATGCATTTGAATGGAAAAGAAGATCGACCAGTAGCAAAATACTTTATTTTGTGCTGTTCTAAGACTCCGTGATGATTATAGGCCCGGGGTTGAGGTGAAGATCAAGTTATATTCCATGCTGAATCACTCTGTACCCTTACTCCTTCCTCGCATACTCTTCATCCGAAACAACATCATGCCAAACCGTCTTCCCATGCCCAATGACGAAATGCGTCATGGTACTATCATCATCCGCGCCATGCCAATGCGTAGTACCCGCAGGAGCCCAAACAACATCCCCCGTCCTCAACCTCTGAGGAGCACCGCCCTTGTCACAAACCCAGCCATTCCCGGAAATCACTCTGATAAATTGACCATCTGGATGCGTGTGCCAGTGTGTGCGTGCGCAGGGGGTGAAAGTGACATTGGCGATTGAGGTTTGTTGATCGGAGTGGAGGGCATCAAAGTAGACCTTGCCGGTGAAGCAGTCTGTGGGTTGCAGGCATTTACCGTCAGGGTTGAAGCCAGCTGGGATGATGATTGATTGTGACATTGTGTTTCTGTTATGAAATAATTGTTAGATTGAGGAACTATGCAATAAGCTATGAAGATGTAAGTACCTTGGGGAAATTTGGTAGTGAAATGCTTAGTTTTTCCGGAATTTTTGTTTTTGGGAGGTCAATGAAGAATGTTCAGTCTTTTATTTGTGGGCAATATCTAACGCTATATGCATTGACGAGATGAGGGGTAGCTGAGCATATGCATAGCAGGTCCACTAATAAAGTCTTTCTCGTAACAGGCACCGAAGATCAACCGACCACAGAAGTCAGGGCAGATTACTGTCTGCATATCAACTTTACTGGATATACCACCCCTGACTAAAGTATAGTACATACGACCATAGGGTGTGGAGAACAGGGCTTCCCGTCCGCTCAGCCGTACTTAAGCCACACGCCGGCCGGTTAGTAGTTGGGTGGGTGACCACCAGCGAATCCCGGCTGTTGTATGTTTTTTAATTTTTTAATAAAAATTATTTTCTCCTTGAGTAAGGACATAAGAGCGCTTATACTTATTGTGTCTCGTACAACTCTCCGTCACCGGCTCGCTGGACATACAAATAGAAGAGGAATCGCTGCTAAAATGGGTACTTTCAATGGATTCTCGTGGAGCAGCCCCCCGGCCCGCTACTGTATGAGAAATGGCCAATCTTCTACTTATGTTGCGTGGAACTACCCGGTTCAAACGATCAGCGAGAATTGGGTCTTTAACTATGTGAAAAGACATTCAGAACTCTCAACCCGATCCTCAAGGCGCTATAGTTATGAGCGTGCAAAGTACGAAGACCCAAAAAGTATTCATGAGTGGTTTGATTGTGTGCAACATATGATGCTTCAATATGGCATTGACCCTGACGATATCCACAGCTTTGATGAGACTGGTTTTGCAATGAGTTTAACTGTTACTGCAAAGGTAGTAACAAGGTCTCAATACTATGGTCGGCGATCAGTGTTACAGCTTGGAAATCGTGAATGGGCTACTGCGATTGAGGCAATAAGTGCATCAGGATGGGCCTTGCCTCCATGTATTATTCTCAAAGGCAAGGTCTTTATCCAGTCTTGGTCTGACAACCTCCCGGACAATTGGCGCATTGAAATCAGTCCAAATGGATGGACTTCTGATGAAATCGGGATTCGGTGACTCCAAAAGATCTTTATTCCATCGACAATTACTCGTATGAAAGGAAAATATCGACATCTAATCCTCGATGGCCATTTAACACCAAAATTCGACGAAATTTGCAGTCAAAACGATATCATCCCAATCTGTATGCCCGCACATTCATCACATCTTTTATAGTCACTTGATAACACTTGTTTTGCAGTGTTAAAGCGATGGTATGGCCAGATGGTTGAATCAAGAATGTGGCTCGGTATAAATCATATCGGTAAATTAGACATTCTTGAGGCCTACCCACACGCACGAATCGAAGTATTCAAAACTGAGACTATTAAGAATAGCTTCGCGGCAGCTGGTTTAGTGCCATACAACTGTGAACGAGTGATTCAAAGCTCAATATTCAGCTTCGTATGCCAACACCCCCCTGAAGCCGGGGTAGCGATTGGGCGCCTAAAGCGCCTTCGAATTTCGTCCAATTACAAAAGCAAGCATCCTCAATTAAGGCTTTATTAAGGCAGCATTCAAAGAGCTTACCGAGTCCACTTAATTCTGCGATAAATCAGGTTCTTAAAGCTTGTCAAATAACAATGCAATCGGCTGCTTTTCTTGAGAAAGAAGTAAGTGAATTAGCACTGCAAATGAAAGACAGAAGCAAAAGTGTACTTGGTCTAGAGACAAATACTTCATGAAGATGGTCTCAGCCCCAGAGGCTCACGAGCTATTTGTGCAGCCTGAAGCAGCAATTGAAGCAGCAGCACCCCCCCAAGCCAAGAAGGCCTTCACCACCTTTACAGCCGCGTATGAGAGCTTTACCAAAGTGTGGAGCCCGTGGAAATGAAGGTCATAAGAGAAATGCATGCCCAGCCAGACCTAATTAGGTAGTATTCTTAATTTAGTGGCGTTTTGGTTGAAATAAATGCATTTAGATACTATAGATGGGGCGGAGGGTGGCCACTCGCTTGTGGATTACATTAACTAACCTTTTGAAGGGTAAAGTCGCCTTGAACTGGTGGTCCTGGCAACTGAGGATTGGGCCGATGTGGCGGGCGAGGCCAATGTAGATGATAACATTCTGGGCGCGCGTGTAGTTGTCGACAGGGATGTTGCGCAGAAGGGTGAAGCCGTAGCCGGAGTGCATGTTTTGAAATACGCGGCGGAGAATGTGGTTGAGGGCTGGGAGGGGGGTTGTTGTTGCATCTAGTCTTGAGAGGGTAGGTCCAGGGCTTTGATTGTCAAGGTCACGGCTTCATTAAAAAATAAAGGTAAGAAAACTGCCTACCTTGAAAGTACTTCACAGCGGCATCAATCTTGGTCAATTACGCCTCATATAACAACAGCACACACTCTGTTCCGTCATTACTTTCGTGCTCCTCGAGCGAGAAACTCTCCCTATCCCAATCCATCTTCGACTCCAGTTGCACGGGGAAGCCAACCGAAGACTATCCTGGACGTGCTCATTCCGCAAGCGATGAGCTTTACGCGCCGCAGATTCCTCACGATTGGGATAGTATGGTAGATGTGCGCAGTCCATTTTCTTTGTTATTGTTAAGGGCCAAGCCCGCAGCACCAATGATTAGCTTAAACACAAGAGATTCTGTTGAAGAAAAAAGAACGAATGTCCGATCGGACAGTTCCATATGGTTTAAGGGATTAGGCATAAGGCAACCCGCCTGTCAGGTTAGTTATGGGCAAACCCAACTCTCCCTAAAACTCGCTGGGTATCACCCAATTCGCCCAAGTCATCCATCAAGAGGGTGGTCACTACCCCTTTATGGTAATAGCCTGATTTCTAATTACTATACGGAGTACGCAGGTCTGGTCGATATAGGTGGACTTGGTAGTACGGACTCCATAAAAAAGCCACCGGACTACCGCTTTCCCTCGGCAGATTCCACCGAATTTTATCGAGTTATTATCATATACGGCGTCTACCTACCTGCCTGTCTGCCTGTCTACCTATCGACCGATATGCCTACCACTCCGCCGCCGCCTGCTCCCCGACCGAAATCGAGCCGTGATCAGCGATTGCAAGTCCTTACCCTCCGCGACGCTGGCTTCTCCTATAAGGCTATATCCGATCAACTAGGCCTCTCCTACTGCCAGGTTCAAATACTTGCCAGAATCAACAGGCTACCCCAAGAAAGCCTAAGGGCCAACCACCCAAGCTCTCTGACGAGGATATGGATAAGGTTATTGCTTGGATATCTGCATCTAAGGATGACTGCCGCAAGCCTTATAGCAAGGTGATTGAAGAGCTAAGGCTCGAAGTGTCACCCTTGACTTTAAGCCTTTCGCTCAAAAAAGGGGTCATTCTAGATATGAAGCTCTCCAAAAGCCACCAACGTCTCAAGAGTAGTACACTGGACACATATCGGAGGACCTCGGAAACGAGTTCTGAATCCCACCAAGAAATCTGAAGAAGTTCTTTTCAGAGTTATTCTCAGAAGTATAGGATGTTGCCATGCATCGATATCCACTCGTCGGTCATTCAGAAGACATGGTGAGCCCGGCCCGTGGGTCAGATCAAAGGTTTCATGGTCCACAAAACCCAATTGGGTCTGAATGGTGCCCAAATGCTCCACCGGGTGGACCCCCTATATATCGTCCATTTACCATGTCTACAGCGTATGTACTCTGGCAAATCTCGATGGACGTAGTATGTAAGTCTTAAACCAGCTGTCAGTTCATGACATGGCATTTGAATGTGACCTTTCAAAATGGGAATCGGCCGCATTCCATTCAGTATGTTATTCGGATCTTTCGATTGTGATGACAGACGATCGCAGCTTTACCCCGGAGAACTAACACCATAGACCTTCGCCAGCATCAGCGCTGAATTTTTCTGTTCTTGATCTATGTTTGTTTGTGGTCCGGCTCGATTTCATACTCACAAAGGGAAGTTAATCAGAATCTAGCCCGCTAACACACAGAGAAGAATCCATGTCAATCTGTACATCGCTGACATGGCAATGCATACACTTGGGATCACGGACCCATGATCCATGATCAACATGGGCTGAAAGTGGGATGCAGCTGTTGTCTCCAGAGGGCAAGACAAAGGCCCCAGTAGAATCGTAGAGGTAGATATCTATATTCTGGGTTTGGGGCTAGCAAGGAGCTAAACACACTTACAGCCAACTCCATTTAATGATAATGATTAGAACAAGCTTGGTCCATGTACCTCAAGGTAGGAGACTGTGCTGTATTCATTCGCAGTTGTCAATATACTCGGAGTGTGCTGTAATTCCACGGCTGCGGCTTTATGCATGCACATAGATGTATGGGTGCATGCCACTCAAGCAACAACTAATAGAAGCAGCAGAAGGTGCGTCTATGATTACCCTTGAAGTTGTATTGCATTATCGCGTTGATCTCATCACGGTGGTGGCGTGACTGTCTGCATTAGGGCAACCTGCGAGCCTGCAAGTTGCTCTTGGCCGCATGAAGCCGTCAGCCAACAGAAAATCCAAGAACGGTTCAGACATGAGTGGCGCTTGCATCTCAACCTAATAGGGGAGCTGTGCTGTGGGGTATCATTATTCTCCTACGGGGGGTTTTCAATGTAACGGTATGTGGAAAGGATCCATCCGTCGTTCTAAACGGAGAGGCGAAGTGATTATAAAGGGGGAAGAGCCTGTCTCTGCTTGAGTTGAGTTCGATTACATTGATTCGTCTCAACTTCTCTCTCTTGCTTCTGCTATCCAATCTGCAACGGCGAAGAACTGAGTTCCTCTCTACCCACCATGTCCCAGACATTCTACCCCATCATCGGTATCCCGGTTCCAGCGGGGGAAGAACCTCCCCCAAGACGGGATATTTCCAGCTGGTCGACGTCCGAAGACCATAACGACCAAATCCAAGTGTCTCTTTTTATTCGGGCCCTGCACAAAATGCAGGAAAGGAACCCAGTGGATAACCCGCTGTCTTACTATCAGCTTGCCGGTAGGCTATACCATGTCTTTTTGTGTACAATCAAAGGATGCTAAAATAAATTTCGACAGGAGTCCATGGATACCCAAAGGCTCCATGGGATAATGCCAATGTCTTAGGTGGGTTCTACTGCACGCATGGTGTATTCACTTTTCCCACTTGGCATCGCCCATACATGTTGTTGTATGAGGTACAGTGTAATCTCTTAGATATATTATAATGCCTTCTACTAACGGTATATTATAGCAAGTGCTTCATAGTATCATGGTCAGTGAACTCGTACCCGGTATTCCTGATGAGGCCACAAAAAAGGAATGGACGAGTGCAGCGCAGCGATGGCGTCTACCCTTCTGGGATTGGGCTATCCGTCAGTCTGGCACTGGCGAATACGGAGTTCCGCAAATCGTGCAGCTTGAGCAGGTCAAGGTTCTTAAACTTGGGAGCAAAGACAAAGAATCCGTTAATAACCCCCTTTACAAATTCACGAACAAAATAGACGGTCAAGAGGTCTCAATGGATGATCCAAAAATGGGGGCCCAACGTCTTCGGTATACAGATACAGACGACAAGGTGAGTAACATAAGCCCTTTAGTGAAAACAGATACTGAACGTGTGCCAGTACGCGTCCTATTTCAACAAATGCATTGGCACAAGCCGCTATGCAGACCCCGATCAAGAATCTTGGGTGCATGGCTCCGTGGATAATGCCAAAGTGAGGACCGCTATCGAACACCCTGAAGGTGGAAATTGGGAATCTGGAGTGTCGATTGCGGAAAACGTCTATCGGATACTCAGCGATGACTATTTTCAGTCTTACGAGACATTCTCATCCACGTACTTCAGTGATGAAGCGAAAAAGGAAGGGAAAGTTCTTAAACCTATGGAATACCTTTCATTGGAGATGATACACAACAAAATCCATGTATGTCCTCCCTGCGTTAGTGAATTGGGTTGACCAAACTAACACAACCAGAACTGGACCGGAGGGGCGCAATCTTCTGCACTGGGCCATATGTCAGACGTCCCCGTCGCAGCATTTGACCCTATTTTCTGGTTGCACCATTGGTAGGCCTGCCGCATATTCTAAACTTTGTGAATCTGCTGACAAAGGGACAGCAACGTCGACCGACTCTTCGCAATCTGGCAATATCTGAACCCCGATAAGTGGTTTGATATTCCTCGTCCTGTTCCAGATCCAAACACAGTTCCAAAACCTACGGATGCACTACCACCTTTCCATATAAACAAGGAAGGCAAATATTATTCCTCAAACGACGCTAGGTACTGCGAGCGACTCGGATATACTTATCCTGAGTTACTCAAGCTCAATGTCCCTCATTTGAAGGCCAACTTGAAGAACAAATATGGTAAACACCTAATGGCGATCAAGAAGCCTGTTGGCGACGAGAACTATCTACTCCCTGGGGTTGGCGACGATACTTTTCCAGATTACGTGATCAACGTTGAATATGATCGGTACGTTTAGACTAAATGAAGCCATCTATCTGTAATTGACCAAAGAATTACAGGTTTGCATTGGGCGGAAATCCATATACCGTCGAATTTTACTTGGTGACACATAACAAACAGAGCCAAAAATCTGAGCATCACACCCTTGGCTCCTTCTATAACTTCACTGCGCCTGTGGTATCTGACTGTGAGAACTGTAAGGTGCAGAAGAACAGCGGCGTGAAGGCAAAGGCACAAGTGCCGATTACTCTTCCTCTGCAAGGGTTAGTCAGGCGTTCATACTTGGATGATATAGTTAGCATTGAAAAGTCTCGTGTTGAGAAGCTGCTAAAGCATCAGCTTGTTTATTCTGTGACGAAGGTATGATCAGCGCTTACCATCCTTTGATACTTTGCTGGACCTTTGCCATTAACGATATATCTTGTAGATGTCTGGTGAACAGATCCCTCTGGAGGATGTTCCAGGGCTTCTGGTGACTGTCCATGCTGGCGATGCTACATACCCGACGGATGATTCGCTTCACGTCTTCAAGCCTCATACCTACACTCCCCTTTGGGGAGCTACTAAAGACAAGCCTCGTGGTGCCGCGCCGAGTTGAGAGTACTTTGTTTGAATTCATTTTCTGATTCCATCTCGGTGTTCGATATGGATCGCGTTGGACTTAATGGATCAATAATTTCTTCGGTCAGTCAGTGCTGTGGCAAGTTTCAGCACACCATTTGACACCTTGTGAACGAATTCGAAAGCATTTGAACTTACGGAGATAATTGCGACCAACTGGAAAAAAAAAAAAAATCATATTAGTTTAGTTTGATTGGTGAAAATTATGACCCTAAAATCCATTATATTTGACTCCATACTTCATGCATGACCAGGTTCTCCATACATGACTCGCTTGACTTCATCTTTCAGCTAATACTAGTTCTAAGCACCACATAAAGACGCAAGTCTCGCTTAGAGTACTGTGCACAAAGCCCAGACAAAACAGGGTAGGACAGGGTAGGTGAGGGAGAAATCAAAGAAAAGATTCCTCTGATTCTAAGAGTTAAGAGCATATGCCAAGCTAAAAAAAGTATCTACTTAATCCCCATCACCTCTAGACAACCCCCATGATGAATCTCTAACTTTCTATAAACTGTAGCAAATTGACGATCAGATATGGTCTGACTGTGCTCATAGTGGTTGTCTAAGTAAGTATGGCTGAGCGGTGATCCTATGTACTAGATTTTTGTATTAACACGGATAAGAGAAACAAGAAAATAGATAGCTATCAGTGTAATGCAAGTAGTAAGAAAGGGGTTGATAGCATGACAATGGTTGGTGTGGAGGGCACTTAGTTTAAGGCTGTGAGGAGGGAGATAGAGGAGTGATATTCCGCATGGCTGTTATGAAGGGGAGGTGCGTTTATGATTAACTTTGTTGGGTGATATGCCCAGCATAGGTTGGCTGGATGATAAGGAGAATAATGAAGGTATTATGTTTTGGCTATCTCCAGGATCTGTACTCGAATGGATGAAAAGGCTGATTGAAACCGACCACAAAACAAAGAAAAAGGAAGCCATGACAGTATGAACGACGTCAAAAGTATCAACATGTCAATTAAAGATACTAAAATGTTGGAGTACGAGGCCTGCATAGTAATCCATCGAAAGAAAGCGGAAAGAGAAAAGAAATAGACGCAAGGTCGCAAGCCCAAAATGAGAATGGCAAGAATAACAATACAACACGTATGAAAAAAGGGAACGAATGTTGTTATCCAGATACCAACACCCAGAGAAGGAAGAAGATCTAGTGTTGTGTTAGTGCGCATGCAGCAAGATGGGAGGTAAAAGCGACTTACCATCAGAACACCACAATCAACCACCGTTTACTAGACACACTATTCCAGTACTTCATCAATTCACGTTGTGCCCCTTGGACATTGTCCACGACATCCTCAGTGTTTGCGTCGATCCGTTGGATCATTTCCGACTGCTCGCTGACCACCTGAGCCAGCTGGCCAAGAATACCTCCCAATTCACCAATTGTCCGTTCGATGGCGTTGATTGCTTCGCCACGGGCTTGGATATACGAATTACCCGTCTGCGCTTCTTCTATGACAAGTAGTTGTTGGTCAGACTGCATGGACGGGCCGCTGAGAGGTGATAGGTTCGAGGGTTCCAGACTCAGAACTTCCTGGCCACCTTGGAATCCTGGTTGCGGCGTACGTCTTCCGGATGTGTTATATAATGGGAATCGGACCGGCCAGGGTCGAGGGCGGACTGGGACTTGGAGGAAACTGAGGAGACGAAGTTCTCTGTTCTCGAACGCGACGCTTGGATGTTCTTGGTTCGCACTTCCAGCACTTCTTTGAAATTGGCTCCGACATCTGCTAATTTTCCTCGAAGCATGACAACCACCTGAATGTGTTAGCACCGTTCACAGGTTCTGTCAACAAAAATCCACATTATCATTATGTTCTTCCTCTTGGTTGGCCTTCGAGCGGCCAGTCTTCGGATGTTGCGATAGAGTAAGCGCTTGCAATCCGGCAATTTGTTGATTCAACGATGCAAGATCTTGTTTGATAACATAAGTCAATTCGGAGATCTCGACGGGCCTGTCACCGAAAAGCGTCTTCCGTTTGGCCACTGCATCCGTCAGCCACTCCTCCCCTCACCAAACATAGAAAACCCACGTTCAGCTAGTCTCTGCAACTTGGCCATCGTGGCAGTGATTCCCCGCCCAATCCCCGCCGCTCTCCTCGCAAACTCCGTCCTTCTTCTGCCATCTTGCACTCCCTTGCCGAACCCATTCGCCTGTTTCCTTTATGCATCCAAGAGCAGGAGTATCCAAGTGATGTCCTGAAGTATTCTGCAGAAAACGACCCTTAGCCAAGTCATCAGGATAACTAATAATGTAAGGGTGGCTAGTCAAAGGTAAGTTACATGCCTATCATTCCTTGGTATTGCATTCCCTACATGCAAATCGGGTGGAACTAGACTGCGGCATACCCGCGGTTATGGTTACCAAGTTGTGGTTATTGAAATGATAACCGCAACCACAACCACGCCTTTGCGATCTATCCATGGATACCCACGGATGACCACAAAGTAATCGCACTAGCATAACTCTCGCTAATTTAACCGATTCTAGCCTATCATGTGACACTTATGCAGCTGACAAAGCTTCTTTTTCACCTAGTAATACGCATGTAATGGCATGTAACGCATTTTCCGGTTGTTCCAGTAGTAGTGTCACGGAGTACGGGCATCCACCAACAACGCAAGATGTTTATATACATTGGCCTGTTTGAATATAGGGCAGGAACCCCCTTTGCACACTAGATATTGCAGCGCTGGCAGGCCCAGCTTCTTTCTTTCCTTCTCCATGTTTGTATTTCGATAGAAAGTCTACCAATAAATTTATATTGTTCGAGGCCGTCACAGGGAAGCCGGCAAATGGATGAGGTCCTGCGCTCTAAGTCAGGAACAAGGGACTTCCATGAATAGCTGTAGAGGTCTCACTTTTATAGCACAATATGCCGCGCACGTTAACCCTCGGTTCCCTCCAACCCCCCCCAAAAAAGAAATCGTCTCCCCTCTTCCTTTTATCTCTTCTCTCTTCTCCACGGAATATGTACTCCCGCTTTGCGGCCCTCGAATTTTGGGCAAGCTCCCGCGGGGAGCCTTCGCCAACATGTATGATAGAATTAGCTTAGCTACCAGATAGGCAGTTTCGCTCTGCCCGTCATATGTTCCGTTTCGGGACTGAAAAGGAGCGGGTAGCTCAGAATCGGAGAATCGGGAAGTCGATAATCCGGACTGCACGAGGCTATATGATAGAGTCTTATCCAGAAGAGTATGATATTGAGATCTATAGACACCTTGACAATAGAATGAGTGCTTAACCCTCTAAAACGCATGGCTATGGTGTCCCTATTTAAGTACAAGGATTCTTCTGTTTTCGGAAACCAGGCCGCTTTCGGTACTCGGACCGACTATTAACCCAATGTTATTTTCATCACTCCCCTTCGTACAATCGCTGCATGTACAAACCAATCAAATAACAATCTGGTGGTCTGATAAGCAGTGGTTGGACGCATACTTCCACTTCCATTTGTATTGAAACTTTCTCCGAATTCTCCCCTTTAAACCATGCCCATCTTTCAACAAATTGTTCCTGGGCGTCGCGATGGCTCGCCTTTGTTAGAGCACCAGCAATCATCTGATCTGTAGGCAGATGCTCGAGGCGGGCTTCACCATTTCCTATATAATCCCGTATGGCAAGGTAGCGCACTGCGATATGCTTGGTCTTCGGGTGGTTAATCGGATTGTCAGCTAGATTGATAGCTCCCCAATTGTCTTCATATATGGTAGTGGGTGTGCTGCTATAAATGGATGACTTCCCTATCGCGTATAGGAAGTGGCGTGTCCAAATCACTTGTTTAGCAGCTTCTGAAACAGCCATATACTCAGCTTCAGTCGTACTCTGCGCAGTAACTGACTATTTCCGGCTTGCCCTGGTAATCGGTGCCCCATCAATCATCAATATGAAGCTTGTGGTTGACCGGCTCTTTGCTGAATTAGCATATGCAGAATCTGCATACACAGTCAATCCTCTTCTCCCCTTTGCATTGAACGTCAATCCATAAGCCATAGTTGCTTTGATATATCGAAGTATATTTTTGGCGGCTTTAAGATGGATTCGGCGCGGTTCAGCAAGATATTGAGACATGTGATTGACCGCAAAGGCGATATCAGGCCTGGTAGCAACTACCTTGAATATCAATCGTCCAATCAAGCTCTGAAATAACTTGTGCTCGCTCCGTCCCAATTGTGGTGTATCCTCCGAATTCAACTTCACACTAGGGCTGATTGATACCACCCCTTCTATAGTCTTTCTAATCATTTTCTTGCCCACCACCTCAAGATATATGTCAGAATGTTCTGGCGTTGCCTCAAAATATGTGCATTTTATCATTCCATAATAATTATCACATATAAAGTTATCAAAGTACTAATCTGGATCAATTGAATGAGCCTATAGGTGCTGTTGGCGCTGCTTGTTCTTGGCTAGCTCAAGGATAGCATTGCTGACTGTCAGATCCGTAAGGCTAACACCGATACTCTTATATGCAACGAAGCCCTCTGAAATGAACTTGATTGCCTTATCAATCTGGTCCTGTTTTGATATTTCCTTGCATTTCTTCAACGCAATGATTTCGCCAAGCTCAACAACATCCTTCGCGGGAATACCACTGTTAACTAATTCGCCACAGTTCTGTAGGGCAAAGTCACGGTCATCAGTAAGTACAACGCCGCGGATTTCTCCAGTGACGGGGTTGTAGCCATCGTTGGCCGAAATGGCATGATGTAGAAGTGCGTGTTCAAGTTCGACCATCTGAGGCTGCCAAGAACCGATAGCCGAGATGAAGGGTTGGCGGCTTCGGCCCTGGGTAAGGTAGCTAGCGGGGAAGAGAGGTATCTGAGAAGGTGTCGTGCAAAATACGGCATCCGTGATTTTCAGAAGAGCTTGAAGATCACGCTGGTAGTTCGTGGCGGTGGTGTCGATGAAGTGGAAGGAAGCATTGGAGTTCCAGCGACTCTGGTTCTCTTTTGTGACAGTCGCAATCAGTTTATTAACATGGTCCTTGATGGGACTAGCATATGTGATGTTTTTAACCTCCGACCCCCGGAGAGCCAAGATGAGCCGGGTATGCCATAGAGCCTGCATGCCACCGCCGAAAACCAAAATGTTGTCCACGTGTTTCCTCCAAGAGAACGGAACCATTGCGTTCATAGAGGTGCGGTAGCCGGTCACCTCTTCAGAGCTTAAAATGGCCGTCGGGTTTCCCTTGCCGTCGGTCAGTACGATAATGCCGTGTAGGGGATCCTTCGTGCCATCGGAAGCCGGTGCGGGCTCCACGGTTATCTTAGCGCCGATGCTCGAATCCGAGGTGAAAGGTCGGAAGAGAGTGTTTTGTCCATTGGCTCGGTTGGCAACACTAGGCATAGGCTGGTATTGACGCTCGCCACCGACCGAAACATCCTCGAATGTTTGTTCGAGAATTTTTCGAAAGACGATTGTTTCTTCCAGAGAAAGATTAATCAACAAGTCGTGGATGGTTGGGTTGTCGAGGACCTGAACATTTGCCATTATGGAGGGGAGTCGGGATTAGGAAACCTGGATGGCGCAGTGGTGTGAAAGAGACTGTCTAGCAGTGAAGGCGTGATTGTGTTGCAGAATGATTTATACAAAGCTGTTGCGGCCATCTACCATATTTAAGAGGCGTGTGAAAAATGCACGAAGGCTCCTGAACTATCAAGAGCTCTAGTGAGAAATTCACCGGCAGCGTTCCCGAAACCCTTAGATAAGAGTCTCGGGAACGCTGCCGTCACCAAGGGAAAGGAGAAGCTAGAGGGCCCCACCCAATCAATTAGAACCTTGTTATATTGGTATGCCATCATTGATATGCGTATTTTGCCGGGCTGCTGAGTTTCAACCATTCGCATGGCCACTTGCCCTAAGTAGAACATCTTTTGGGTATGCATTGCCCACGGTTTTGTTTGTATCTTTTGCGCCTAAGATACAAATTCAATCAATGGTTATTTCGTATAACTCTAAATCGTGATTCTAGCTTGATATCTGTACGCTAAAGGTCATTCTGCTATCCTGCTAACCCAAAGTTGGGGCTCCTCTATAAGGTTCGGACAGCCAACCGACGAAGTGTACTACAAGCCAAAATCATATTGTTTTTCTATAGATTTTCGCGTAATCCCTTTTGCACCATGACCACTTGAAGACCCGACATGCGGGGCACCTCCCAACATAGTCTGTCGCGCGAAAGGGCGGCCCAATATAAATAATAAACAACACCCCCCAGAGCTACAACGTTGACATCCTTGGTTCTATTTTTTGCAAGGAATCCAAATTTCATTCGCCCTTTTCTCCCTTCCCTCAACTTGCTTGCCTTGCAGCATGGTGAGATTCAACCGCCACATTCAAGTAGTGGGCTGCCACTGCGCAGGTGAAAGCTGCGATGTCATTACCGGGGGGGTTATGAATCCGACGGGATGCATGACCATGTACGATAAGCTGGTCCACTTCCGAGACAACGAAGATCAAATTCGTCAGCTTCTCATGCAGGAGCCCCGAGGACGTTCGGCAATGTGTCTAAATCTCGTCCTGCCACCTACCAACAGCAAAGCCGATGCCGGGTTTCTGATTATGGAGAGTGATGAATATCCACCCATGTCCGGGGGCAACACAATCGCCACCACTACTGTTCTCCTGGAGACAGGCATGGTGAAGATGGCCGAGCCTGTGACAAGGTTGACATTGGATACGCCAGCGGGACTAGTAACCGTTGATGCAGACTGCGAGGACGGGAAGGTCAAGGCGGTTGCCTTCAACAATGTCCCCGCGTTTGTGTTCAAGCTGGACTTCCAGATACAGGTCCCTGGGCTCCCAGAGCTTGGAACTATCACCCTTGACATTGCCTGGGGAGGCATGATCTATGCAGTTGTCGACGCAACGAAGCTTGGAATCAAGATCAACCATAGAAATGGCCCTAGGTTGATTCAAATCGCGGAGGCAATCAAGGATGCGCTGAACAGGTCCGATTATATTCCCGTTCATCCAGAAAACCCTAGCATCAAGGGAGTGAGCATCCTCGAGTTCACAGAGCCTATGGACAGGGAGACAATGGAAGCCACAAATACTGTTGTGGTGTCTCCAGGTCGGTTTGATCGATGCCCATGTGGCACCGGCAGCTGTGCAAGAATGGCAATCCTATATGCCCGCGGCCAGCTCGCTGTTGGTGAGCGCTTCACCCACCGAAGTATTATTGGGAGCACTTTCGAATGTTACATCCGTGGCACGACGAATGTGGGAAAATACGACGCCATTGAGCCAACAGTGAAGGGAAGTGCCTGGATCAATTCGTTCAAGCAATATGTTTTGGATCCAACTGATCCTTGGCCTACTGGTTTCCGGGTTGGTGATCAGTGGCTTGTAGCCGAGGAGTAAAATTTCCCTGGTTTTGATTAATAAAACAGAAGCATGGCATGTATAATAAAGAAAACGCAATTTATAGCGATGAAGATATTAATCGCAACATTTGAATGCTTCTATTGAGTATATTGTACAATCTGAGTCGACATTTAAAAAAGACCTGATGTGATAACCTCCATGTTAGCTGTGACCTCTTCAAGGTGAAGTCACACTTCACATGCTCAATTTTATCCCAGTGAGCCCTCTAGTACAGGAGGCTGGCCTGGTACAGTGGCTTTCTCACCTCATGGGCGGTTGCTGACATCAGACTCTTATGACTATGACAGGAGCATCCGGCTCCGGAGCATAGCTAGGGGCACTTGTCAGCACGTTCTCAACGCTCATTCAGATCTAGTTAAATTTGTGGCATTCACTCCCTATAGCAGACTGCTGGTCTCCGGCTCTAAGGACGGTACTACCAGGTTCTGGGATGCTATCATCTTAAAATACCATTCTTTACGGCTGTTCTGGTCATGACGATTAGTTCTGATAGTATTTGGCAATTCGTAAGGTGAAATTAAGAGAAACCTGCCTGTATATTAACGTATTTGACATAATATGTGCTTAATTTCATGTAAATGTGATGAAAAGATATATTGGTAGACCATTAGAGTGAGGCTTTGGCAGCATCCCTCATGTGCTGGTGAGAATACATATTTCCTACTATGCGTAGTATGGACAATAAACTTGATTGAACATTAAGACTACACGTAGTGAATATACGCCCACTATTTTCTCACTACTATGACGTATAACTTTTTATCCCGACGATGCGCATCCATAGAGTATCCTATGCGTTGAACTAGCCATTTGATCACATTGTTGTATCTATAAACCTCATCAGTCTATATGATCTCTTCATTAATTTGGACCCGTCGCGAGGCCTGTAAAAGAAATACTCAAAAATACGGCCGGAAATTGTATATATATTTTATGCAAGCCATGTGGTATTCGATGTTTGCATTGTTTTTAGTCCTATGGGAAATGCCGCGGTCTATGTGTTACTATAGATTGCCGTACTGGCTCTACAGTAACCCCGCACAGCCGTGCTGAATACGCTAGCAAAAATCTCATCCTACATCTGTATGGGGTACATCAAATTGTCTCAACAAATCAAGGCGGAATCCCTGCACTGAGCTGTCACAACCTGGCTTCCCTCATATCGTACCTAGTTCTAGTTAGTTGTATTTCGAGACAGGACACTTACCCTAAGTGTCTTCCAAGCACTCATATGCTCAATGACCATCCAGGTCCTCTGTATATCACGTCGAAGGTATATAGCCCCCTCCAGGCTCCGTAAGATAATCAACAAGTAGAAACGGTAAAGGTAACGAATAGAGAAACAAGGCCAACCGAGCACGTATGCTGGGTTGTTGGTTAAGTGCGGACGAGTCAGAAACTAGAAGGTAACCAATGCTTGATTAACTAGATTGATTGCGAAGAACTAAACTAGGTGCATGAATGAGTGTCCTTATATATCCTTTGCTCTCCTACCATTCCGTA